TCTATGCCGTCCTTATTTAGATGGCTCTAAAAGCCACAGGGCGGCATAGAACGCCCTGCCAACTTATGTACTTACCCGGCCCAGAGAGTCCCCCTCCGTCCTCTTCGGCCCCCCTGGGCCATGTGATCGCGAGGTCCTTGCGAGGACCTCGCAATCACATGGACGGCATAGCCGTCCAAGGCATTGCCAGCAGGGGGAGTGCCTGTAATGACAGGTACTCCTCCTGCTGCCTGAAAATAAAATAAGACAGTTTAAATCAGTGTAAAAATAAATAATATATACTTAGATCATATATATATTTATTATATATATGGATTTAAGTATATATACACATATATACACACACATACACTGTCTAAGTGTATTTTAATATTAATATATACATAATTATATATATTAATATCAAAATACACGTACAATGATATTGATTATATATATAATTTTCATTATATATATATATTTAAATATAATAAAAAATAAATAAATATGTAAACATGTTAAAAAATTTAATAAAAAAATAAAAATAATTTGTTTTTTTTATATACATGTGTAATTTCGTTCAAACTGTATTTTAAAATTAATATATATTAATATCAAAATACATGTAGAACGAAATAATATATATCTATATACATAAGTATGTACGTATATATCACAATATATATATATATACATACATACATGTATATATAATAATTCTACGTATATATTTATGTAATAATTTTACATAATTAGGTCATTTTATTAATTACAATTTGCAGGACCTGCCTGACAACCCAGGCCGAAAGTTCAGAGAATTTAATTTGCTAGCACCATATTTAACCCTGTAACTTTCCAAGACACTATAAAACCTGTACATGGGGGTTACCGTTTTACTCGGAAGACTTCGCTGAAAACAAATATTAGTGTTTCGAAACAGTAAAATGTATTACGACGACGACATCGTCCGTGACAGTTTTTCCATTTTTCACACACAAATGGCACTTACACTGACGATATAATTGTTGTGATGCATTTTACTGTTTTGAAACACTAACATTTGTGTTCAGCGAAGTCTCCCGAGTATAACAGTACCCCTCATGTACAGGTTTTATGGTGTTTTCAAAAGTTACAGAGTCAAATATAAGGCTTGCATTTCATTTTTTTCACATTAAAATTTGCCAGGTTGGTAATGTTGCCTTTGAGACCGTACGGTAGTCCAGGAATGAAAATTACCCCCATGATGGCATACCATTTGCAATAGTAGACAACCCAGTCTTTTTTATTTGCCCTTTAGTCACAAACACTGGCCAAAATTGGCGTTCAAATTAGTTTTTTGCATTTTCAAATATTAACACTAACGTTGGCCAGTGTTTGTGACCAAGTTGCTACTAAAAAAGACTGGACATACCCCATTTGCAATACTTTGGGTTGTCTACTTTTGCAAATGGTATGCCATCATGGAGGTAATTCTTATTCCTGGGCTACTATACGGTCTCAAAGGCAACGTAACCAATCTGGCGAATTTCAATGTGAAAAAAATGAAAAATGTAACATTCTATATTTGACCCTGTAACTTCCCAAAACACCATAAAATCTGTACATAGGGGGTACTGTGTTACACGTGAGATATCGCTGAATACAAATATGTGTATTTTATTGCAGTAAAAGCCAACAGTATTTTGACATTCACAGTTAAAATGTCACGTAGAACTAAGAAAATTTTTAAAAAAATCTTATTTTCTCCCATTTTTTTATATTTTATTCATATTAAATTATGTTCCATAGCTAAATATTTGATATTAAGTGAAAGCCCTGTTTCCCCTGAATAAAATGATATATAATAAGTGTGGGTGCACATAATATGAAAGAGGTGAATTACGGTTGGACAGACATGTAGCGCAAATGCCAGGTTTTGTTTACGTTTTGTTTTGATCACAACTTGTACATTTGGCTGCGGTCTTAAGGGGTTAAGCTGAAGTTGTTCAGGTGACTATAGTGTCCCTTTAAATTGTCATTCCAGGATCCTGATAGTGATAGCCAGGATTCCTGATGTACTAAGTAGACCCTATTTTCTCTCCCTTCCAGCAAGCCAGACCTCTAGCTTGCCTTTCACCAATGTATTTAGTTTAGTTTATCACTGTATTGGGATATTACAATTGGGATAAGTGCATAGAGTATTCTTGCACCATATTGCTAGCTTCCCGTTTGTTGCATATTCAATCTAGGTTTTGCTGCTATTATTCCCAAATATCCCTTCATTATTCATTAACGCTCTAATTATTGTCATTCTTTCTATTTATTTAAGAAAAATACCCCCAGTTATACAGATATCAACATTTATATATGTGACTAGGAACGCCCTTTTTCCATAGGTACTCATAACCTTTTAGTAAGGGTGATCTCTATTACTTTCATTTGGATAATATCTAAGAGTATACCTACATGATAGTATCCAGCATAGTGCCAGACACAGATATTACAGTTGTTGAAATTTAAAAGGATACTTTGCAACATTGTGTTGGGTATTCTAATCTCTGTCTGTACCCAACTGTCATGGATACTTAGTCCTATTTTACTCACAAACTTTGTTTTTTTTTCTCTCTCTTTATACTTTATTACACTATTCACTATGTAAGCTTTTTTTTGTTGTTGTTTGCCCTCTCGTTAGGTATTTAATAAAATGATAGTTATTTTTCTTTTGCTCTGGAAAATAGGCCCTACTAGCCAATCACTGATAGAGCAGCTTAGGCTGTAATTGGGCTCGCTTGTTTAGCTTACACTCTCCAGTCTTTCCTTTTTTTTGGGGGATTAAATGCTTGTTAACGTCATGTATTATCTCCTGGTTACCGGTGAGATATGTTTGTTTTATTAGCATGTGTAGGGAGCAGGTTTTGGAGTGATACAAGTTATATTATGATATAATAAGGGAATAAAGTATTACCCTGCAGATACCGTTCTGTCCCCGCTCCTGACCTGGGTTGGAGGACACAGAATTTGTCCGCTATTATATTGTGCGCTGAAGGATTCCATGGCCAATCAGCTGTAAGGGGGAGGAGCTTATCACATTATATAGGCAATGCTTAGTCAGGACATCAGGTTCATGTAGAATAATCAACTCCCTTTCATGTATTTCTGATATTTACTATATAACAGGTTCACATCAAAGAGCACTCCAGGCACCTGCTGTGGTGGTAATGGTGCCAGGAAAGTCCTGGCGCACTACCTGCATAAGTAATCAAATTATTTGTGAACTACTTTGTAACTTAGCCGTGATCGCCTGTCTGCTGGATTCCTCCCGCCATGGTGCTGGAAGCAGGGCCCTCCTTGCTCAGTTTGACGAAGAGCTTCTGGGGGCACAGCAGGAGGTGACCAAGACAACAGGAAAATGCAGCAGTTTGACTATTTAATCTGGAAGGTTGCAGACTACTCCCGGCACCATAACCACTACACATGCTGTCGTGGTTATGGTGTTTGGAGTATTCCTTTAAATTTATCTCATGTGTAATTCTTTCTGAGTGCAGAACATCGCCATCACTGCAGTGTGTTTAATGTTTTACCTGCAGAGGGCGCTGTAGGATATTTCTCACAAGTGATAATTGAATCTTAGGGTAGGGTAATAGGGAATCCAGGGAAAGCGGAGGAGTTTACGGGATAACGTTCCTTATGTAATGGTGTATGATTTTCCATGAATATCTTGAGAAGATTTATTTGGGAGAGGTCAGTAGTGACCACGAATGTTCTGGCTCTTGGATCATATTGTTCTGACTGCTGGCCCTCCTGGTATTGTAACCCACATTTATAAAGACTCTCCTCTGGATCTGTTGGGGTTCATAGAATTCTGATATATGCAGATTGTGCATGTGATATAAGAGTTTGTGTACCCGGCAGGAAATATCACATGGTGTTTTTACTCGTATCTATCAGTGTGTGACATGTTGGCACTCATTGAAGTGGTCTGGGTGCACTGCACATATTGCGCTCAGTGCTGCAATGTTAAACCATTCCAGAGAAACAGCAATTGCAGCACTAAGTCTGTCTCCAGTGGCTGTCTACCATAATGTCTACCAGACAGCCACTAGAGGGCTTCCTGCACCCAAACGCCCTCACACTCTGCGGGGTGGGGGGAGGCAGAGGGCAGCTTTGTATTCCTAACACGATAGAATCCCTTTAATAATTAATTGTTAGTGGCCAACAAACACCACTAACCAGTATTTCTGATTAAGATAATGTAACATTACATATGGACGAGATACACAGAAAAGTATCCACACAACTCCCTCTGCTTTCCTTCAAACACCCACCACATGTAAACAATGCCAACTGAACGAAAATAACCCGATATCTGAACATAGAACTGTTTCAACCACACACTTCACCTCAATGGGACTTTACAATCAGCAAATCATGATGTGTCTCATCATGGGCAAAATATAAAATAGTATTAAAGGGACACTATAGTCACCAAAACAACTTTAGCTTAATGAAGAAGTTTTGGTGTATAGAACATGCCCCTGCAGTTTCACTGCTCAATTCTCTGCCATTTAGGAGTTAAATCACTTTATCCAGCCCTAGCCACACCTCCCTGCATGTGACTTACCAGCCTTCCTAAACACTTCCTGTAAAAAGTAATATAACATTTATACTTCCTTTATTGCACATTCTGCTTAATTTAGAATTTCTTATCTCCTGCTCTGTTGATAGATTGTTAGATCCTGCAGGAGCCTCCTGTGTGTGGTTCAATTTACAAAGCAGGAGATAAAAACTTCTAAAGTAAGTTATATCTGATGGAAAGTTATACTATTTTGTTTTCATGCAGTCTGTGTCAGTCACGGCCAGGGCAGATGTGGCCAGGGCAGATGTGGCCAGGGCATAGACAGAAACAAACACGATTTAACTCCTAAATGGCAGAGGATTGAGCAGTGAGGCTGCAGGGGCATGTTCTATACACCAAAACTGCTTCATTAAGCTAAAGTTGTTTTGGTGACTGTAGTGTTCCTTTAAAGAAAAGACTGCTTAAAGGCTACACAAGTGCACACATTCTGTCAGTTAATGACATGTGATTTAACAAATCCCCCTGACTGTAAACAGGCCGCCCCCTGGTAGTGCAAGTAGATTAGACAAATTTGAATAAAAACAGTACAATATGGTTTGCATTAGCATTATTTTTTTTGGAAGGATACCAACACATTCTGTAGAGCTGTACAATAAAGAGACTAATGTAGACAATTGTGACAGTTTTTTATAGTGATCCTGAAATAGACTAGGGCCTGCTGCCAAGAGCTTACAATCTACAGGAAGGCAGTTAAGGTTAGAAAGAAAGAGTCACTACTAGTTATTTGTAGGCAGAATGACAGACACTGTGTGTTCACATCCTAGACATGCTTTCAGCCTCCTCTGTAATCCCAAGATCATTACGAGGTACCCACGCTCTAAAACAACATTAACCTTTTATTGTACCATCATGGAGACCCTGCATAGCAAGTCACCACATTGATTACCAAAATGGCTCGAATTCTGGTCATCATGTGCATGATTTGGTTATAGTTTTGGCTATAATTTATCATGGCTTAAAAAACATCCTTTTAACAAGTCCTTAATTACAATTTTGCATCTTAGTAGAAAAAATTAAAAGCTCAGTTAAACAAATACTTATTGGCAATAATAAAAATAATCATTTTGAGAAATCTACTGTATTCCCAAACTGGGAGTTAAAGAATTTGCTCACACATTTCGTTTACACCATAAGTGAATCTTTTCAGAAAACACAGTATAAAGGTTTTTAAACTGTTGGATCCACAGCACACATTTCAAGCATCACCGGTCACTTTTGGGCAGCTCTGGTTTAATTCATTTTTGTTGCCCCGTGAAAGAGCCTGTCGGTATGGTAAACAATGGTAGTATTCCCAGAGGCAGCTGATGGTGATATTGCTTTATGACAGTTATTGTTGCTATAGTAACGTAGAACCGTCAGGTGTGAAGGACAAATATTATCAAATAGAATCTTGGAATTTGGAAACAATTCACTTCCTTGTCCAAAAAAAAATAAAATATTCTAATAATCATTGTCTCCTAGCACCGAGAAAATTTCGGTGTAAATATTTTATATCACAGGTTGGGAATGTGGAAGCTATTTCAACATATTTAATGTTATTATGATCATTAAATCAAGTGATTTTGTTATTGGATGTAAGTGTCATCTAATTAGATTAGGACCTGAATGGCGTTACCCTGAGAATCTGCCCTGTCCCCCTGAGATTGGACTAAATACCCTGAGTAAAACCCAGACCAGGCTCATTTATTATTATTATTTCTTTATACATTGGGCTGGACAAATTACTAACAAATGTGGAGATAAAAAAATCAGATGTCATAAGTCATTTCACAATATTTTTTTTTGCTTTAGTCTTTATTGCTATGCCATCAGTTTATAAGCAAAGATTAAAATAAAAAATAAACCATGGAGGTCAGGCGTGGCTAAATGCACGCGTTTGTGACTAAGCGTCCTCGCTCAGCGTATTCCATTCCAGGACACAGCTAGGCCGAGGAGAAGTGGTAATAAGGTAAGTACATCCAGTAATGGACACATTTGATGGTTGTTTCCCCAGCAGCTCAATGTACAGATTGAAAATAGACCCACCTGAAGGCGGAAATGCTACCATATGGTCTGTGGATGTCGAAATCCATTAAGATTTGACTTCCTGACCATAATATTAAATTCTTAAACGGAGTGTAACCTAATCCATTTAGGATTAATCTATACCTACCCTTAAATGCCGTTATTATCGCTGCCTAAAACAAGAGTGATATAGCAAATACTGCCTCAAATGCTACGGAGCAGACACGATTCTCTCCCTTCTCTGTGCTCGAGAGTCTGTAAAACAGGCACGGCTGCCAGTGGCAAAAAACAGGCACGGCTGCCAATGGCAAAAAACAGGCATGGCTGCCAATGGCAAAAAACAGGCATGGCTGCCAATGGCAAAATACAGGCATGGCTGCAAATGGCAAAAAACAGGCATGGCTGCCAATGGCAAAATACAGGCATGGCTGCCAATGGCAAAAAACAGGCATGGCTGCCAGTGGCAAAAAACAGGCATGGCTGAGACCTGGCAAAGCTGATTGACAGACCGGAAAATGGTGCTTGACTGACCCACTAAACTGGAAAGCATAGCAAACTGATGAAGGGATTGCGTATTTTAAAGGGAAATGGACGCCGGTGAATAAAAGGTTAAAAATCACCTATAACGTGTCTTTATGTAATGTGATCCTCCATTTCCATTTAAAATATTTACTTATTGACTTCACAATGCAGTCAGTTCTGGGACAGCCAGGACAAACATTAAATTGAGGGAGGTGAAACAGAAACCGCTTTCTCTAAACTGACTGCTTGGCGCAAAGGGCGGAGCTTACAACAGTGACTGACAGGGAGCAAAGATAGAGGATTATGAGGTGTGGATTTCTACATTTACTTCATTTTTAAATGTATTTGACATAAATAGGTATGTGTAAAATATAGAGAATATTTAAACATAATAAAAATGTTGAGAAGTGACTGTTCTCCTTTAAACCATGAAAAAAAAGGACATAAGCCGAGTTAAATCCTTTTTACCGCGTTCATTGGCTTTGGCATAAAATGGCCAATTCCCGTGTCAATTATCTCGAATTTCGGTTTAGTGAAATCACCTCTATTTAGGCAAGTACTCGGGTTTTATACTATTCCAACCCCATACAGCAGGTAAAATACCGGCAAATATTCCAAAAATATAAAGTTTTGCCCCAAAACGCACACTATATGATAAAAAGTAACTGGGAAAAAAAAATGTGCTTCCCCCAATAAATAGAACTTTTTGTCATATCTCCAACTCAAATGTATCCATTTTAAAAAATTAAATAATCCAGTTATTCACACAAGCATAGAGTTTGATAGGAATCGGACGCTAGTAATGAAAGAATCCTTGTAGTGTAGCTGAAAAAAAATGGGCAATTGTAAAACTTAAAGCCTGGCTTAATTTCTTAATCAACATAAAATAATGCTATTAAACTAATTTGATCACACATTACATAATATTGCAACGTAAAATAATCAAATGAGAATAATTAATCATTCCAGTGCCCCCCATTGCAGGTACAGGCAAAAAGCACAATATATACAATATCTTTGCACCTGATCATGCTCAATGTTGACCGTAAGTCTCTAGTATGCCAACACAGTGGTTGTAGTTACTGTCAGTGCTAAGTAGGTAAGTACAAGTCACAAACACTCCAAACTTTAGAGTGAAATGAGTGGACGTGGCAATAAACGTGGTTGGGCATCTCAGAAGTGCGTGGCTGAAATGGCTGCTGAAGAATTCATTGTTGAGTCTGTGATCCCCTCGTCGAATGGAGGGTTTATTATCTCAGATGCGTCATTCGCACTGCTTAAAGCTAAAACTGCAAACAGCGAAGATCAGTTCTAGCGCAGACTGTAGGAGTACCGGAGGGTTACCTGCATCTTCCCAGCTTTGTTAAATTGTAGAATAAAACGATATCGACCCATTAACATGGGTTTAATGGCAATTCTGACATTTGGGGTCACATCTTTTCCCGTTGACATTACACTGGCAGCCCCCAGACGTGTCTCCAGGACCCTGTGAGCACAGATTAAAAGTCTAAGTAGAGATAAAGGCTTGCATTGCAAACTGTATGGTTTATTCGCATTACAGGTTACCTGATGGAGTTATTTAGTAATTTAAGGTTAGAGAAGACAGTAACAGTTTTTGTCAGAGTGATGTGTGACAGTGCTATGTATTAGAAGGTTTCATTCACAGTATATCACCGTATTGGTTGTGTACTGTGAAGTGCTAAGTGTCGTCTTACCTGTGGACCCCAGCGAGGCCCCTTAGTGACCCAGCAAATCTCTGTTTGGCACATGGTACAGCGAATCCAGTCGCAACCATCTTTCTTCTGGACAACAATCTGACACATGGGGCAATACATGGCTTCCCCAGTCTGCAACAGCAACTTGGGAGAGAGACAAATAGAGTTAGAGAGGGAAAGGATAGAGAGACAGAGAGAGAGATAGATATAGAGAGACAGGAAGAGAGATAGAGAGATAGATATAGAGCGAGAGACAGGGAGATAGATATACAGATACAGACAGGGAGAGAGTGACAGATAAAGAGGGACAGAGAGAGTACAAGGGAGCGCAAGAGATAGAGAGGGACGGAGAAGGAGAGATAGAATAGAGAGAGATAGATAAAGAGGGACAGAGAGAGAGCACGAAAGAGCGTAAGAGAGAGAGAGAGAGGGACGGAGAAGGAGAGATAAAAAGAGACAGGGAGAGAGAGAGACACAGAGAGATAGCTATAGAGAGAAGGAAGGCTACAGACATTAAAGGAATGAGAGTAAAAAGGGATAAAAAGAAGGGAAGGGGAGAGACAGAAATAGGGATGAGTGACTGAGAAACGTGGACGGAAGCAGTGTGACTGGTTATTTAAAAATAAAGTGAATAACTTTGAAAATAAAAGTTAAAAGAACTGCAATAAATAAATTAATTATAGTAGAAGGTTTGTAAATTCCCCTGATTTATTAATGCTCCCAGTCTATTAGTGCCCGGGTACCTGTCTCATAGTCTGCATTCAGTGCCCGGGTACCTGTCTCATAGTCTGCATTCAGTGCCCGGGTACCTGTCTCATAGTCTGCTTTCAGAGCTCGGGTACCTGTCTCATAGTCTGCATTCAGTGCCCGGGTACCTGTCTCATAGTCTGCATTCAGTGCCCGGGTACCTGTCTCATAGTCTGCATTCAGTGCCCGGGTACCTGTCTCATGCTCTGCATTCAGTGCCCAGGTACCTGTCTTAGGCTCTGCGTTCAGTGCCTAGATACCTGTCTCAGGCTCCGTGTTCAGTGCCCGGATACCTGTCTCAGGCTTCACATTCAGTACCCAGGTACCTGTCTCAGTCTTCACGTTCAGTGCCCGGGTACCTGTCTCAGGCTCCGCATTCAGTGCCCGGGTACCTGTCTCAGGCTCCGCATTCAGTGCCCGGGTACCTGTCTCAGGCTCCGCATTCAGTGCCCAGGTACCTGTCTCAGGCTCCGCATTCAGTGCCCGGGTACCTATCTCAGGCTCCGCATTCAGTGCCCGGGTACTTGTCTCAAGCTCCGCGTTCAGTGCCCGGGTACCTGTCTCAGGCTCCACGTTCAGTGCCCGGGTACCTGTCTCAGGCTCCACGTTCAGTGCCCGGGTACCTGTCTCAGGCTCCGCATTCAGTGCCCAGGTACTTGTCTCAAGCTCCGCGTTCAGTGCCCGGGTACTTGTCTCAAGCTCCGCGTTCAGCACCCGGGTACCTGTCTCAGGCTCCGCGTTCAGTGCCCAGGTACCTGTCTCAGACTCCGCGTTTAGTGCCCGGGAACCTGTCTCAAACTTTGCATTTCAGACTCAAAACCCACAGTCCCAGTTCACTGAAAATTCATATTACTGTCAAATCCTTACCTTTAGCATTTCATTGGTCTGACGGGCGGCAATGTCATTCAGTGCTCGGATACGCAGATCATCCTGATACTCTCGGCAATTCATGCCGTCATGTATAGCCTGGAGGGACAAGGAGACAATGTGACATCGTATAACAGCTCCCCCTGCAGGATTCGAGTATCAGCTACAAGGAAGCAATGTGACATCGTATAACAGCTCCCCCTGCAGGATTCGAGTATCAGCTACAAGGAGACAATGTGACATCGTATAACAGCTCCCCCTGCAGGATTCGAGTATCAGCTACAAGGAAGCAATGTGACATCGTATAACAGCTCCCCCTGCAGGATTCGAGTATCAGCTACAAGGAAGCAATGTGACATCGTATAACAGCTCCCCCTGCAGGATTCGAGTATCAGCTACAAGGAAGCAATGTGACATCGTATAACAGCTCCCCCTGCAGGATTCGCAGGTATTACATTAATCTGTATCAGCCTGACTGCTAGTTACTTCGCTGGGGCTATAGAGACATTGTGCTGCTGGTAAAAGAGAAACAAAGGGGGAATTGGCATTTTAAAATGTGTTTTTATTGCCCTTATTGTACTGTCACACGTTAATTCGGACCATTCTCCCTGGGTACGAAGAGCCATGTTGCACCCAGGATACACAGAGGGACCGGTCCAGGCATTAATAGAACTCTGTCTGGGCGATACAATGCTATAGGGAACTCTACCTTGCATGTCAGGCAGTTCTCTGCGAAGCAGATCGGACAAACAAACTCATTAACGGAGTCTTCATAGATACACCAGCCCTTGCAGTCTGCCGTCTTGCAGTGGTAGCTGTTTTGGCTACGGCTTTCGGCCATCACCAGGCCCCGCTCCAGGAACCGGCTGTACTCCTCCTTAGACACCAGCTACGGAAACAAAGCACCTTATAGAGACCGGAATCCATTACAGAAAAAGCAGCTAGTCCGCAGAAAGTCTATAGCCTTTACCTGGGTGAACAGGGAGATAAAACTTTATTATTAAATTATGTCTTATTGGTTCCTCCCAAAAATATTTTCGTTCAGTATTTGTGTTTACAGCTCTCAGCATTTTTAAAAAAAAATTTTTATTTAAACCTTTTTTCCATCTTTTTTTATAGATATGTTTAATCTTTGCTGATTTTTTTTTATAACTTTGTCCCTTTTTTATTTATATTTTTTCTTTGCTGTTTTAATTTGAAAACCTTTTACATTTTTATTCTTTGCCGTTTTTATTTAAAACTTTGTCTCTTTTCTTTTTCTTGCTGTTTATGTCCTCCTCATTGTGGGTGCTGCTGCTGCTGAGCTAATTAGGGGGAGTGCCCCTTAATTTCCACCTGTGTGGGATTTGTATTGCCAATATAAACCCACTACTGACTCACAGAGCTTGCTCACTGGAGTCTGCTTGGAAGTAGGCTATTTCAAGTAGGAGGTAAAACAACAGGAGTTGAAACTACAAGGGAGTTTAAACCAAGAGGGTTAATATTATTTTGCTCACTTTTTTGTGTTTTTTGTAACTGGAGATGAGTGCTAGCAAGATTGCGAGTTTAACTCAGTGCACATCATGCCGCATGTATGCATGCCTGGATAAATCTGTCCGGGGTCCATACCTCTGTGGTGGGTGTGAGCGAGTGGCATTCCTGGAAGCTCAGATTGGAGATCTGGAGAGGCAAATTGTAACACTGAGGGAGATTGATAATCTTGAGAGGAGTCTGCCGCTTGGGTACAACCTATATAGTCGTAATGGATTGCACCTAAACGTAAGAGGGTCTGCTGGGGGTTCAAAGCTATATAGAAAATGAAGCGAGGATGAAAAGGAGACGGGCTTCAGCTCCGTATAAGGGGGTGGAGATGGGGGGAAGGAAAAGCTCAGAACAGAGAAGGTATGTAATATTGATGAAAATTCACAAAAAGAACAAATGACTCATGATAATATTAAATGTATGCTTAATAATGCAAGGAGTCTATATAACAAAATGGGGAAACTAGAGGCAATAGCATACACTAAACAATATGATATAATAGGCATAACAGAAACATGGTGGGATGAGACACATGACTGGGTAGTTTACTTAAAGGACCACTATAGGCACCCAGATCACTTCAACTTAATGAAGTGGTCTGGGTGCCTGGTCCAGCTAGGATTAACCCTTTTTTCTATAAACATAGCAGTTTCGGAGAAACTGCTATGTTTATATTAGGGTTAATCCAGCCTCTAGTGGCTGTCTCATTGACAGCCGCTAGAGGGCTTCCGCAATGCTCACTGTGAAAATCACAGTGAGAAGACGCCAGCGTCCATAGGAAAGCATTGTGAATGCTTTCCTCTGGATGGGCTGAATGCGAGCGCAGCTCCTGCCACGCATGCGCATTCAGCCGAAGAGGAGGAGGAGAGCTCCCCGCCCGGCGCTGGAGAAAGAGGTAAGTTTAACCCCTTCCTCACCCTAGAGCCCGGCGGAGGGGGTCCCTGAAGGTGGGGGCACCCTCAGGGCACTATAGTGGTCCTTTAAATGGGTACACACTATTTAGGAAGGATAGGAAAAACAAGAAGGGTGGAGGGGTATGTTTGTATGTCAACCATGAGTTAAAGTCAAATCTTAGGAATATGGAGTGTGACGAGAAAAATGTGGAAGCTTTATGGGTAGAGATGTCGCGAACCGTCCACGAACTTCTCGCGAACGGTTCGCCACGAGCTGTTCGCGGCGAACTCCGGTCAGCTGACACATCCCGGCCAATCTCCAGCAGACCCTCCCTTCCAGACCCTCCTACTTCCTGGACAGAAGCTTCTGTCCAGGAAGTAGGAGGGTCTGGGAGGGAGGGTCTGCTGGAGATTGGCCAGGAAGTAGGAGGGTCTGGGAGGGAGGGTCTGCTGGAGATTGGCCGGGATGTGTCAGCTGACCGGAGTTCGCCACGAACAGCTCGTGGCGAACCGTTCGCGAGAAGTTCGCAGACGGTTCGCGACATCTCTATTTATGGGTAGATATCTGCTTTGGGCAAAAGAAGGGAAATTAATTCTTGGTTGGCATATGTTATAAACCACCTAATGTAAATATTAATGAGGAAGAACAGCTGTTAGAGCAAATTGAGAAAGCTGCAAATCGAGGTAACACGTTAATTATTGGAGATTTTAATTATCCAGACATAAATTGGGAAAGAGGGACTAGTACTTCAGCAAGGGGAATCAGGTTTTTGAATGTGTTAAATGAAACCTTTATGTCACAACTGGTACAAGCACCAACTAGAAAGGATGCTTGTCTGGATCTTGTCATAACAAACAATGTTGATCTTTTAACCAACATTCAAGTAGGGGAGCATTTGGGGAATAGTGATCACAATATGGTAAATTTTGAAATAAACTCAAAAAAGCAAAAAGCACGCGGGGTATATTAAAACGTATAATTTAAAAAAAAAATATTTTATTAAGATTAGGGCAGCTCTACAACATATCGACTGGCATAAACTCCTTAGTGATAAAAACACTGAGGATAAATGGAAACTATTCAAACATATATTAGAAAGGTACATTTCTCAGTATGTACCATTGGGTAATAAATATAAAAACAAACAAATTGAAACCAATGCTTTAACCCCTTAAGGACAGAGCTTCAAAAGCTTGTCTTTCACTTAATGACAACAGCATTTTTTTCATTTTTTTGCTGTTTGCGTTCAACTGCAATTTGCATTTTACTAATTTGTTGCACCAACACATATTATACATCGTTTTTTAAAGGACAGAAAGGGCTTTAATTTGATGTAACACACATATATATAAATGCTTATTTATTATAAAAAAATACAGAAAAATTTTAAAAAAATGAAAATGTGTTTTTTTACAGTTTTTGCAATAATAATGTGTGCATAATTAGTGCAGGTTAAGAAAAGTAATTACAAATAAATTAATTTAATTCTTTCTTTTTTTTAACCCTCAGGGGTTACATTTATTTATTTAATTAATTAAAATATTTTAAAATTATATATTTAGCTAGCTGGGGTGGGTTGAAGTTAGTGGGGAATTGGGGGATTTGGCGTTAGGCTAACTAGGGGTTAACGTAAAAAAAAGTTTTAAAATAAACTTTAAAAAGTAAAAAATGAAGCTTAAAATTTTTTTTTAATAACGTTTAAGTAAAAAATAACCCCCCCCCTTTACCTAGTCCAAATAAAAATTAACCCCTTCCCTGCCAGTCGATCACTGCCTACAGCGATCAAATACAGATCACAGTTTAAAAAAGGTTAAAAAAAATCAGATCATTGTAAAATGTAATCCCTGCCAATTGATCACTGTAGTCAGTGATCAATTGGCAGGGAAGGGGTTAATTTTTTATTAAAATGGGTAAAGGGGGGTGGGACTTTAAATTAACTTTATTTTTTTTCCAACAGGGGGCAGGATGAGCACTGTTCCGGCTCCCTGCACTTCACACAGAACTCGGAAGTGCAGGGAGCCAGTAGGTAAGTATGCAGAGCACATGTGCTCGCTCCGACTTGCGGTCAGAGCGAGCACATGTGCTGGGCAGCCTGACCGGGTGCTCCCGGTATGCCTAATGCAGAGGCATACCGGAGCACCATTAACCCCGCGATCGCCACGATAGCGGCGATCCGGGGTTAATTTTACCGTGTGACGGACAAGGTCCGTCACTCGTCATTAAGGGTTTCCCCTCTGTGAAGGACCTCGTCCGTCACCCGGCAATTAAAGTGGCTAAACTAGAAAATGAGAAATTGATAGCCAAAGAATGCAAAACCAACCCCAACATTTTTTTCAAGTACATAAATTCTAAAAAAAACAAAATATGAAAGTGTAGGTACACTGGAAACAGAGATGGGTCTGTTAGCTAATGAAGACAAGGAAAAGGCAGAAATTTTAAATAACTATTTTTCTTCAGTATATATTAATGAGGATTCTATGGCAAGAGATATGCAAATGATTGCTGCAAAAAACTTGCAGATAACTTGTGATTGGATAACTCGAGACAAGGTGCTATAGCTATTAAAGAAAATTAATGTAAATAAAGCTCAGGGGGCCTGACGGTATTCACCCACGAGTACTTAAGGAGCTAAGTGGGAAAATAAGTGAACCTCTGTATTTAATTTTTCAAGATTCTTTTGTTTCAGGTATTGTACCGGAGGACTGGAGGAAAGCAGATGTTGTTCCTATATTTAAAAAGGGTTCAAAATCCTTGCCTGTAAATTATAGACCTGTGAGCTTAACTTCTGTAACTGGGAAAATATTTTAACTGCTATTAAGGGATAATATTCAGGAATTCATTGGAAAGAATTTTGTTATTAGCAATAATCAACATGGTTATATGAAACATAGGTCATGTCAAACTAACCTAACTGCATTCTACGAAGAAGTAAGTAGAAGTATAGATCAGGGTGTCGCAGTGGATGTGATTTACTTGGATTTTGCCAAGGCATTTGATACGTTAACGTAGGTTAGTCTTCAAACTAAAAGAAATTGGTCTTGGGTAGAACATTGGCTTAAGGATAGAGTACAACGAGTTGTCATTAATGGTAAATTTTCATGCTGGACAAAAGTGGTAAGTGGTATCCCTCAGGGTACTGTTTTAGGACCGCTTCTAACGTATTTATAAATGATCTTGCAATAGGTATTGAAAGCCATGTTTCGGTGTTTGCAGATGACCAAACTCTGTAAAGTAATAAAATGTGAGCAGGATATTGCTTTGCTGCAGAGGGATTTGGATAGATTGAGGGACTGGGCACTAAAATGGCAGATGAAATTTAATGTAAAGAAATGCAAAGTTATGCACTTCGGGGTTAAGAATGCACAAGCAACTTACACTCTAAATGGTAGTGAATTAGGGATAACCACACACGAGAAGGATTTGGGAATTGTTATAGACAACAAATTAGGCAGCAATATGCAATGTCAATCTGCAGTTGCTAAGGCCAGTAAGGTTTTGTCATGTATAAATAGGGGCATAAATTCTCGGAATTAAAATATAATTTTGCCTCTTTATAAATCGCTGGTGAATATGCTGTGCAATTTTGGGCACCTGTTCTAAAGAAAGATATCATGGCACTAGAAAAAGTCCAGAGACAAGCTACAAAATTGATAAAAGGAAAGGAGCATTTTAGTTACGAAGAAAGGTTAAAAAATTTTAATCTCTTTAGTTTGGAAAAACGGCGCCTGATAGGGGATATGATAACATTACACAAATATATTCAGGGCCAGTACAAACCTTTATATGAAAATCTATTCATAAACAGGGCTATACATAGGACACAAGGTCACACATTTAGGCTGGAAGAAAAGAGATTTCATCTAAAGCAAAGAAAATGTTTTTTACAGTAAGAGCAATAAGGATATGGAATTATCTGCCTGAAGAGGTGGTGTTATCAGAGTCTCTAGAGATGTTTAAACTGCAATTGGATAAATACTTCCAAAAACATAACATACAGGGATATCATTTCTAATTAGTGGGGTAATAGCTGCTTGATCTGACTGCTATTTTGGGTTCAAGAAGTAATTATTTCCTAGTTTGCTGCAAAATTGGAAGTGCTTCAGACTGTCTTCAGTCGTCTTTTGGATCAACAGTAAAAACATACGTGAGGAAGAACTTGATGGACGCAAGTCTAATTCATCCTATGTAACTAAATAACTATGTAATACTTGGCCAGGGTGGTGTTTGGCTCTCATAGCCCGCTAGGCTTTCAGTTTGGCTACTCTGCCCTTAAATTCTGACTTTAGTAAATTATCCAGTAGATTTATTCGGTTTCTTAAAGGGAAATATCTGGAAAATCTGGTGGAATTGTCAATGACGAATAACAAATAGTTTAATAAATGTGAACAAAATGAGGAAAATTCGCTGTCATTCTTCAGAACGCTTTGTAAATCTTCCCTAATGTTTATACACTCAGAGATAAAAGCAATGGGAGATTTAAACGGTGAGACACGGCTTTCTGAACTAGGAATGGGACAAACAAGGCCTTTTATGTGAGATCAGTCATTTTTCCCGTCTGTTTAGATTTCAGATATTTTTTGAGATCTCTTCTACTGCAAGTCTGTTCTATGTTAGATTACTAACTTCCAATATTAATAATAGCCAGTTCCACGTATTGTCTTTCCTGAATATTCGAATATTAATATCATGTGGATGTGTGTACCCGACCGGCAGTTATTACTGGCTAGAATTTCATTATATCTCACTTGGAGGCATATCCCACTCCATGTATTCTTCAGGACTTGTTAATCCATTTACAATCTGATGCCCATTTTCACTAGTTTGCACAAGCCTTTCACATTTATAATTTTCCTGAATATTACACAGTGTGATTTAAAAAAAATACATTTTCAAGGTGTCTGGTGAAAGTGATAACTTTGCAATAATTCGATTTTTAATACTAATTGCAACATTTTCCTAAACTGCACTAACTCCTTATTTTGCTGCATTATTGCCATACTGGCATTTATTATAGCGCAATAAAATCATGCGTAAAATGCATCACTAATGCACGTACGTAGTTCAGATGCATGCTCCCCCTCCAGGCTCATTCTGCACGTGGATTTTATGGTATTATTTTCGACATATACAAATGCTAAATCTGCCATTGCAGCATCCCTCCCATTGGTGTAAGCAATTCACAACACACGTTACCCACCGCTCGGATCTCTCGCTGCTGCAGCTTGCTGTTACAGGCGTACAGGTCATCTCGAAATGGGCATGAAACCTCGGGGTCCTCGCAACAATTCACAACCTGCCTCAAGCAGACTCTGCCAAAAGAAAAACAATTCAAGCCCTCCAGTCTTCTCTTCTCCCTTCCAAGATACAGATATTACAGACAGATACGTGTTATCATATCGCACTCTCTCGTCCTCTCTGAGCTATACATAGTAAGACATAACAGTCTGATACGAGTTATATCGCTCTCTCTTGTACTCTCTGAGCTATCCATAGTAAGAGCTAACAGTCTGATACGTGTTATATCGCGCTCTCTCTTCCTCTCTGAGCTATACATAGTAAGAGCTAACAGTGTGATACGTGTTATCATATCGCGCGCTCTCTTGTCCTCTCTGAGCTATACATAGTAAGAGCTAACAGTATGATACGTGTTATATCGCGCTCTCTCTCGTCGTCTCTGAGCTATACATAGTAAGAGCTAACAGTCTGATACGTGTTATCATATCGCGCTCTCTCTCGTCCTCTCTGAGCTATACATAGTAAGAGCTAACAGTCTGATACGTGTTATCATATCGCACTCTCTCGTCCTCTCTGAGCTATACATAGTAAGAGCTAACAGTGTGATAAGTGTTATCATATCGCGCTCTCTCTCGTCCTCTCTGAGCTATACATAGTAAGAGCTAACAGTCTGATACGTGTTATCATATCGCGCTCTCTCTCGTCCTCTCTGAGCTATACATAGTAAGAGCTAACAGTCTGATACGTGTTATCATATCGCGCGCTCTCTTGTCCTCTCTGAGCTATACATAGTAAGAGCTAACAGTCTGATACGTGTTATCATATCGCGCTCTCTCTCGTCCTCTCTGAGCTATACATAGTAAGAGCTAACAGTCTGATACGTGTTATCATATCGCACTCTCTCGTCCTCTCTGAGCTATACATAGTAAGAGCTAACAGTGTGATAAGTGTTATCATATCGCGCTCTCTCTCGTCCTCTCTGAGCTATACATAGTAAGAGCTAACATTCTGATACGTGTTATCATATCGCGCTCTCTCTTGTCCTCTCTGAGCTATCCATAGTAAGAGGTAATAGTCTGATATGTGTTATAATATTGCGCTCTCTTTTGTTCAGGTGGAAATCATGATTACATGTATAAAACATACCTGCAGAAGCTATGAAGACATTCCCGCAGGAGGACCCCAGCCCCGGCCGGCACATCGGTAAAGCAGATCTTACACTCAATGGATTCTTGGTTTGGGATGAGAACCTCGTTATCCAACTGCAGGAGATGCATAAAGTTCTGCTGTCTCTCCTCTTCCAGCGCCTAAAAGGAAACACAGCACATGGCATTACTAACATGGTGTCTAGAGAACTTAAGGGACAGCACTATGTCCATTAGCAAGGGCATAGCTTGGCATACAGGGGTCAGAGCTACTAGGCAGTGTGTCATAGAAGAGGGGAAGAGCCTGCGCTAACTCAATTGAGCAGCAACCCTAAAAAGGGAACCCTTCACGAAACCCTTTTTAGAAACAAGAAGATACAAGAAAGGGAGTTAAGGGCTGCGCTTAAACAAAAGGATAAAAGAATGAGTAAAAATGTATATAAATAAAATAAGCAATAATAATAAAAACAAGTAAAGTTCATCCAAATAAATAGGAGTATAAATTGAAACAGTCTCACTGATGTGCAGTAATATAATAGTAATCCTCAAGTGTTGCTCCGTCCGTATGGTAGGTAGTCCATATATGTGAAGACAAAAGATAAAAGAAAAAGCTGCCAATGGTGAAATATTGTATGTCCACATGTGGTATATATTCAAAGGAAAGGTATTTCACTCACATTTGTTGGAGCTCTAACCAGCTCTAGGAAAAGAGGCACTTAGTGGTTTAATCCCCACTATCGGATGTACTTTGGTGGTTGGTCCGTCTTGAAATTCCTTTGATGTAGGCTAGGACCTACTCAGATGTGCGTTGTTCTTTTATGCTGGGGAGATAGGTCCGCCTCTCCGGTATTGGATAGTAGGTATCCACGGGATATATATAAAACAGCAAATAGTGCTCTCAGTATGAACAACACAGTAATATCTTAAAAATAAGTTATACTTACAAAAATAGAGCAGACAGATACTGCTCTATTGCCACAGCGCTGGCGGAATTATCCCCACCTAAGGATTTCTTTGGACGGGATACACTTCAAGTTAAAAATAAAATAATAGTAAAAAGTGGAAGGATAATACGCACCGGCGCCAGCATCAGGAATACCCCCACAGCCTAATAGACCCACAACGGACTCCACTCCGTTAACTACGTCGATCCTGAAGCAACTGCTCGCAGACCTTCAATCTAGCTTGCAACAAGATATAATGGCGCTAAGGGGAGACCTGAAAGGCCTGACAACCCGTATAGTCACCCTCGAACACACTTCCACAAAGAATACCCGAGACATCGGGGAGCTCCGAAAGACCGTGAGCGACCTACAACTGCTACAGCGGAATACGGAGCACCGTATGGCGGAACAGGAGGATGCTAGACGGTGCAACAATATTAAATTGAGGGGGATCTCCGAGGCAATACCCACAGCGGCATTACCACAACTTATTAAGCGCCTGATCTCGAGCATACTGCCGCATACCCAAGCTGACAAAATAGGCCCCGAACATCTCTTCAGAATCCCCATCCCACCTAAAGCACCAACTCCAGCCTCCAGAGATGTAATCTTGGCCTTCCGCACAAGACAGGACAAGACTGCAATCCTCACCGCATTACGGGGCAAACCACCACTCCAATTTGAGGGTATGACACTATCATTCTTTGCGGACCTATCGAGCGACACCCTAGCGTGGCGGCGCTCCTTCAGGCCACTCACCACGCTCCTCCGACGAGACCTCCAATATCGTTGGCAGCCTGCCCACACACTCACCATTCACCAGGGAACAGACTCCCATCGGATCCGCGATATGAGCGAAGCAGCACAGCTACTGCAGGCCTTAGGCCTACCACGGGACGCTCTTACACCGTCTAACTGCCAGAGCACACCCTCCCCGACTCTCACCTGGGACCCGTCCCGAACATCCCCATTCGTACCGCAGGGACTAACACCCGACCCCTATGCGACAGTCACCACATGAACGGAAGATGGCGACATCGCATCCAACTCGGGACTCAGTGACCACCTTCTCAAGGCCACATGACCCACCTACCACAGGTGGGTCATGTTTAATGTTTACAAGCATTCCACTTTGTGTTTTTATATTTATAATGTTCACGTTCACCTTGCATGCAGCCTTCTCAGGTCTAACGGCCTGTTGATTGTGGCCACGGCCCTGCCGAGACACATGCCACCTGTTGCTCAACCCACAATGAGCGCTAACTATAATTTTAATTTTATTATAATTTTACTCTATGTTTATCTTATACTTCGCAACTCGACAGTATGCTTTACGCTACACATCAAAAGCTCGCACTTTGTAACTTGCTTGCTATTCCCGCAATGTCTTAGATAAACCACAGTTACTTACTTGGCTACTAGTGCCTAGTGTGAAAAGAATTGTAGGAGCTCAGCTTAAACTAATAGCGATGGTGCACACATGTATATGTTAGCCGACTGACCCAGCGACTCACTGCCCCCTGGTGGATAACTTCAATAAGCTAGAGAAACCTGTATCTGATATTATTTTTTGTATAAGCCTGTAACTAATTAAGTTATACAACCACTGCTCAACTAAGCATGCATAGAATAGATATAAAAGTTTTACTCAATAGCACTAAGCTTGTTATACTGATTTAGTCTGCATGATATATAATTAAAAAATTGTGTAACGCATGCGAATGCCATAACCATGTAAATCTTGTTATCTCTCAGTTTGCTGCAGCTGTTGTGGCGCATCAAGCAATGTTACCTCTTTGCACGCAATAAATAAAGAATAAAAAAAAAAAAAGTGGAAGGATAAAAAAATAAAATAAAATAAATCTATAAAATAGTTTTGTAGTATAAAAGTAATGATGTAATATAAAAATGCCAGGAGTAAAAAAAAGTGTATAAAATACAATAAAAATAAGTATAGAGTTGGTCCTATTATAAAGGGTAACCAAAAATAACTTTTATTGATTAAAATACACTTATTAAAACCATTTACGCGTTTCACCTTTAGGGTTTTCTCAAAATGGTAAAAGAACAGTACACCTGGCAAGGAACTGAATATATAAGTATACAGAGGTTAAAAATGGCCCCAAAATTTTAGTGCACCAATCACAAACATGTTTAAAAACAAAACTTTAAATACATTTCAAATTAACATTAAAACCATATAGGCACATTGGTATGAGCCTAATTAGGCTTGGGGAATTTCAATTTTGTTAAAACAAAGCTTTAGAACAAATTTAATAGCAAATGGTCCCGATCACGTGATCGGGATGCGGCGCGCATGCGCAGATCGTCTGATCGGCGGATCACTTCCTGATATAGGCGGAGTGCTCAGTGGCGGCTGGAAACACAATGCTTCATGGGAAATGAAGTCCTGACGGTCACTGGGCACTCCTACAGTAAAATACATAACGGAAATCTACTTTTACAATGTAAAAAGCATCATAAAGGCTAAAACCATATTGTAAACTATAAACTGCCACACAAATTTATACATGAAAGTATTAAAAGCAAGAAGAACCACTACTAACACCCGTCAACAAGACCACCACCAAAATCATAACCAATATCACAATCACACCAACAAGAAATTCACACAGTCACCCTATAAACCCCAACGATCACATAAGCCACCAACTGATTTCTACCCTGGACCTTCAGTCAGACCAAAATACCAGTCAACCTATTACAAACAAAAATACACACACTCTCCACCACCAAAAAAATACACCACCAACTCATATAAGAGAAATTTTTCACCCAAACACTAAAGATCTAGATATATTAATGATCGAATCGAGCGTCCCAAATCACCTAGCATCCCTTACCACTCCAATAGATATCAACTACTATCAATTGATTCCGAATTCAAAAACGAGGATCATTTTTTAGAAATTCGCACTCACCCAAGCACTTTGAATCAAACACCTCACCCGTCACGAACACAAAAAAGAACCTTAAGTCAAGAGGAAGAAGAAGTGGCAGACGGGAACAAGAGAGAAAAACTAAAAAGACAATAAGTCCCCCCAAAAACTCAAATAGTGGGATTTTTAATCTTTCGCAAAAAACTCTCACTATAGCACAGCTATGGGTTTTAAACAAAGGTCTTAAATTTGCTCCAACCAATTCTTTTAAACCCTTCGAAGCTTTTATTGACATTAACAAGGTTGTCCACAAAGCAACCTTAAAACGCTATTTTAATGAGAAAATAGAAGAGAATTTTACTTTTAACAATCCCACTGATAATAGTACAATTTTATCACTTTCCTCCTCCCCAAAAAAACATATTATTAATACGCATTTTAAAGAAAAATCAAAATTTTACCCAGCTTTTATGAAAACTGCCCCTTTAACTGTTTTTGAAAAACTAGTTACACATGATCTAAACAAGTTACAGACTAAAAAATATGTTAATCTACAGCTATTTATAACGGAGATAACCTAAGGGCAAACCTGGTCTCATATTTTAGATATATTGATGATCTCTTTTTTATTTGGAATGGATCGGAAGATGATCTTATTTTTTTTTTAATGTTCTTAATACTAATAACAGGGGCATAATTTTAACCCATGAATTTAGTAGAGAACAAATAAATTTCTTAGATCTCAATATATTTATTAAAAATGGGAAAAGTAACACAAAAACCTTTTTTAAAGGAGTCTGTGTCAATACAGTTATCGATAAGAATAGCTGCCACTACAAACCGTGGCTTGACAGTGCCCCGAAAAGCCAGTTCCTTAGATTACGTAAAAACTGCACAGAACTAGAAAACTTTGAAGAGCAAGCTAATGCCCTCAAATACAAATTTATGGAGAAAAATTACCCAGAAAAAGACCTACTTGAAAATATCAATGAGATAAAAAATAAAAACAGAGATGAGCTTTTAAAGTATAAATCCAAAATCAAAAATGATTCCATATCTCTTCCCATCATTTTTAACTATACCAACAAAAGTAAAGAAATAAAAAAGATCATTCAAAAACACTGGCATATTTTAGAACACGATGAAAAACTTTCTAAAATTATTCCAGAAAAGCCAAGTATAATTTTTAGAGGGGCTCCTAACGTTAAATCTATCCTAACTACCAATTTCACTAAAGAATCTAAACCAAGTAATCTTGTGTCTTTTTTTCCCCAATCTTTAGGCTTTCATAAATGTAAGAACTGTATTGTGTGTAAAACAGCTGATCCTACAATGCCACCAAAAATAATAGAATTTACTTCAAATAAAACCAAAACTACTTTCAAAATAAAAGAATTTATTACGTGTAATACCAAGAATGTCATCTACTTACTGGAATGCCCGTGTGGCTTCCAATATGTTGGGATGACCACTAGATGTCTAAAAATTAGACTAGGTGAGCATTGTAGGAATATAAAAAATGGTTATTTAAATCACTCTCTATCAAAACATTTTTTAATTCATAATAAACATCCTAAAATGTTAAAATATATGGGAATAAATAAATGTTCCTTACCCTGGAGAGGAGGAGATATAAAAAACATCTTAGGTAAAACGGAGATGGAATGGGTCTATAAGTTACAGACCCTAATACCAAATGGACTTAATGCAGATTTTGACCTGCACAATTTTTTATGATAGGTCTTTTTAATTATACCTCCTTTTTAGAACCAACTTTTTATTTTTATTTTTATATTTTTTTTTACTTTAATTTTATTTAATTTTAAGCAATCATAATTCATACACTGCTTGTCATTTTTAATTTTTTATTTCATTGCTGAGTGCCCTTTAATACGTTCACCAATATAACATTAATGTTTTTATTAATAGTAATATTTTTAACATTATTTTATGGTAATTTTTGCTTTTAATACCTTCATGTATAAATTTGTGAGGCAGTTTATAGTTTACAATATGGTTTTAGCCTTTATGATGCTTTTTACATTGTAAAAGTAGATTTTACTGTAGGAGTGCCCAGTGACCGGCAGGACTTCATTTCCCATGAAGCATTGTGTTTCCAGCCGGTCACTGAGCACTCCGCCTATATCAGGAAGTGATCCGCCGTTCAGACGATCTGCGCATGCGCGCCGCGTCCCGATCACGTGATTGGGACCATTTGCTATTAAATTTGTTCTAAAGCTTCGTTTTAACAAAATTGAAATTCCCCAAGCCTAATTAGGCTCATACCAATGTACCTATATGGTTTTAATGTTAATTTGAAATGTATTTAAAGTTTTGTTTTTAAACATGTTTGTGATTGGTGCACTAAAATTTTGGCGCCATTTTTAACCTCTGTATACTTATATATTCAGTTCCTTGCCAGGTGTACTGTTCTTTTACCATTTTGAGAAAACCCTAAAGGTGAAACGCGTAAATGGTTTTAATAAGTGTATTTTAATCAATAAAAGTTATTTTTGGTTACCCTTTATAATAGGACCAACTCTATACTTATTTTTATTGTATTTTATACACTTTTTTTACTCCTGGCATTTTTATATTACATCATTACTTTTATACTACAAAACTATTTTATAGATTTATTTTATTTTTTTATCCTTCCACTTTTTACTATTATTTTATTTTTAACTTGAAGTGTATCCCGTCCAAAGAAATCCTTAGGTGGGGATAATTCCACCAGCGCTGTGGCAATAGAGCAGTATCTGTCTGCTCTATTTTTGTAAGTATAACTTATTTTTAAGATATTACTGTGTTGTTCATACTGAGAGCACTATTTGCTGTTTTATATATATCCCGTGGATACCTACTATCCAATACCGGAGAGGCGGACCTATCTCCCCAGCATAAAAGAACAACGCACATCTGAGTAGGTCCTAGCCTACATCAAAGGAATTTCAAGACGGACCAACCACCAAAGTACATCCGATAGTGGGGATTAAACCACTAAGTGCCTCTTTTCCTAGAGCTGGTTAGAGCTCCAACAAATGTGAGTGAAATACCTTTCCTTTGAATATATACCACATGTGGACATACAATATTTCACCATTGGCAGCTTTTTCTTTTATCTTTTGTCTTCACATATATGGACTACCTACCATACGGACGGAGCAACACTTGAGGATTACTATAATATTACTGCACATCAGTGAGACTGTTTCAATTTATACTCCTATTTATTTGGATGAACTTTACTTGTTTTTATTATTATTGCTTATTTTATTTATATACATTTTTACACATTCTTTTATCGTTTTGTTTAAGCGCAGCCCTTAACTCCCTTTCTTGTATCTAGTGTGTCATAGAGCATACAGGGGTCAGTGCTCCTAGGCACGGCATCAGAGCATACAGGGGTCAGTGCTACTAGACACGGTGCCATAGAGCATACAGGGATCAGTGCTACTAGACACGGTTTCATAGAGCATACAGGGGTCAGTGCTCTTAGGCACGGTGTCAGAGCATACAGGGGTCAGTGCTACTAGGCACAGTGTCAGCATACAGGGGTCAGTGCTACTAGACACAGTGTCATAGAGCTTACAGGGGTCAGTGCTCCTAGGCACGGTGTCAGAGCATACAGGAGTCAGTGCTACTAGACACAGTGTCAGAGCATACAGGGGTCAGTGCTACTAGGCAGTGTGTCATAGAGCATACAGGGGTCAGTGCTCCTAGGCACGGTGTCAGAGCATACAGGAGTCAGTGCTACTAGACACAGTGTCAGAGCATACAGGGGTCAGTGCTACTAGGCACGGTGTCATAGAGCATACAGGGGTCAGTGCTACTAGGCACGGTGTCATAGAGCATACAGGGGTCAGTGCTACTAGGCACAGTGTCATAGAGCATACAGGGGTCAGTGCTACTAGGCACGGTGTCATAGAGCATACAGGGGTCAGTGCTACTAGGCACGGTGTCATAGAGCATACAGGGGTCAGTGCTCCTAGGCACGGCGTCAGAGCATACAGGGGTCAGTGTGCTACTTCAGGCACGTGTCATAGAGCATACAGGGGTCAGTGCTCCTAGGCACGGCCAGAGCATACAGGGGCTTCAAAGGCTTAGTACAGTGCCCGCGGCTTTGCTAGACACGTGCCACTAGACACGGTGTCATAGAGCATACAGGGGTCAGTGCTCCTAGGCACGGTGTCAGAGCATACAGGGGTCAGTGCTACTAGGCACGGTGTCAGAGCATACAGGGGTCAGTGCTACTAGGCACGGTGTCAGAGCATACAGGGGTCAGTGCTACCAGGCACGGTGTCGGAGCATACAGGGGTCAGTGCTACTAGACAGTGTCATAGAGCATACAGGGGTCAGTGCTACAAGGCACGGTGTCATAGAGCATACATGGGTCAGTGCTACTAAACACAATGTCAGAGCATACTGGGGTCAGTGCTACTAGGCACGGTGTCATAGAGCATACAGGGGTCAGTGCTACTAGACACGGTGTCATAGAGCATACAGGGGTCAGTGCTACTAGGCACGGTGTCAGAGCATACAGGGGTCAGTGCTACTAGGCACGGTGCCCGTGCTACTAGACACGGTGCCATAGAGCATACAGGGGTCAGTGCTACTAGACACGGTTTCATAGAGCATACAGGGGTCAGTGCTCTTAGGCACGGTGTCAGAGCATACAGGGGTCAGTGCTACTAGGCACGGTGTCAGAGCATACAGGGGTCAGTGCTACTAGGCACGGTGTCGGAGCATACAGGGGTCAGTGCTACTAGACACAGTGTCATAGAGCATACAGGGGTCAGTGCTACTAGGCACGGTGTCATAGAGCATACTAGGCACAGTGTCATAGAGCATACAGGGGTCAATGCTCCTAGGCACGGTGTCAGAGCATACAGGAGTCAGTGCTACTAGATACAGTGTCAGAGCATACAGGGGTCAGTGCTACTAGACACGGTGTCATAGAGCATACAGGGGTCAGTGCTCCTAGGCACGGTGTCAGAGCATACAGGGGTCAGTGCTACTAGACACGGTGTCATAGAGCATACAGGGGTCAGTGCTCCTAGGCACGGTGTCAGAGCATACAGGGGTCAGTGCTACTAGGCACGGTGTCAGAGCATACAGGGGTCAGTGCTACTAGGCACGGTGTCAGAGCATACAGGGGTCAGTGCTACCAGGCACGGTGTCGGAGCATACAGGGGTCAGTGCTACTAGACAGTGTCATAGAGCATACAGGGGTCAGTGCTACAAGGCACGGTGTCATAGAGCATACATGGGTCAGTGCTACTAAACACAATGTCAGAGCATACTGGGGTCAGTGCTACTAGGCACGGTGTCATAGAGCATACAGGGGTCAGTGCTACTAGACACGGTGTCATAGAGCATACAGGGGTCAGTGCTACTAGGCACGGTGTCAGAGCATACAGGGGTCAGTGCTACTAGGCACGGTGCCCGTGCTACTAGACACGGTGCCATAGAGCATACAGGGGTCAGTGCTACTAGACACGGTTTCATAGAGCATACAGGGGTCAGTGCTCTTAGGCACGGTGTCAGAGCATACAGGGGTCAGTGCTACTAGGCACGGTGTCAGAGCATACAGGGGTCAGTGCTACTAGGCACGGTGTCGGAGCATACAGGGGTCAGTGCTACTAGACACAGTGTCATAGAGCATACAGGGGTCAGTGCTACTAGGCACGGTGTCATAGAGCATACTAGGCACAGTGTCATAGAGCATACAGGGGTCAATGCTCCTAGGCACGGTGTCAGAGCATACAGGAGTCAGTGCTACTAGATACAGTGTCAGAGCATACAGGGGTCAGTGCTACTAGGCAGTGTGTCATAGAGCATACAGGGGTCAGTGCTACTAGGCACGGTGTCATAGAGCATACAGGGGTCAGTGCTACTAGGCACGGTGTCATAGAGCATACAGGGGTCAGTGCTCCTAGGCACGGCGTCAGAGCATACAGGGGTCAGTGCTACTAGACACAGTGTCAGAGCATACAGGGGTCAGTGCTACTAGACACAGTGTCATAGAGCATACAGGGGTCAGTGCTACTAGGCACGGTGTCATAGAGCATACAGGGGTCAGTGCTACTAGGCACGGTGTCATAGAGCATACAGGGGTCAGTGCTACTAGGCACGGTGTCATAGAGCATACAGGGGTCAGTGCAGGCACGACATACAGGGGTCAGTGCTACTAGACACAGTGTCAGAGCATACAGGGGTCAGTGCTACTAGACACAGTGTCATAGAGCATACACGGGTCAGTGCTACTAGGCACAGTGTCATAGAGCATACAGGGGTCAGTGCTACTAGGCACGGTGTCATAGAGCATACAGGAGTCAGTACTACTAGACACAGTGTCAGAGCATACAGGGGTCAGTGCTACTAGACACAGTGTCAGAGCATACAGGGGTCAGTGCTACTAGGCACGGTGTCATAGAGCATACAGGGGACAGTGCTACTAGGCACGGTGTCATAGAGCATACAGGGGTCAGTGCTACTAGACACAGTGTCATAGAGCATACAGGGGTCAGTGCTACTAGGCACGGTGTCATAGAGCATACAGGGGTCAGTGCTACTAGCACGGTGTCAGAGCATACAGGGGTCAGTGCTACTAGGCACGGTGTCATAGAGCATACAGGGGTCAGTGCTACTAGGCACGGTGTCATAGAGCATACAGGGGTCAGTGCTACTAGGAACAGTGTGATAGAGCAGGGGTCAGTGCTACTAGGAACAGTGTGATAGAGCATACAGGGGTCAGTGCTACTAGGCACGGTGTCAGAGCATACAGGGGTCAGTGCTACTAGGCACGGTGTCATAGAGCATATAGGGGTCAGTGCTACTAGGAACAGTGTGATAGAGCATACAGGGGTCAGTGCTACTAGGCACGGTGTCAGAGCATACAGGGGTCAGTGCTACTAGGCACGGTGTCATAGAGCATACAGTGGTCAGTGCTACTAGGCACGGTGTCATAGAGCATACAGGGGCCAGTGGATTCAATGTTGGCTATTAATGTTTTATAGAAAGGACAAGGTACACTGTATCGGCTATGAGATAATTAGGTTAACTTCTGGCTTAATGTGCTTTCAGCTAAATGGAAAGAACGGATGGTGCTCTTTGTAGTCAGCTTTGCTGCTGGGATGAAGATTTTTATCTACAACACGGAATTACCTTCAGAGGTACAATAACCTCCCAACCTGTTTATCATGCTCTATCAATTATATGTGCAGAGAAAATAAAAGAAATAATAGAGAATATGCCAACGTTTTACTCTAGTTCACACTAGGTATAAACATTGAGAAAGTGTTTCACTGGGAATAATACAACATGAATGGAATATTTTGTCTGGATTGTAATCTCACTACGAAGCAGCTTAACGAGTGATGCAGATCGAAGCGTATATTGGTTTGTGACTTGTCTGTACATATTACAACATTACTGCCAATATTGGTTTCATAAATAGAGCTGTGGCGAAAGTAACCTCGCCACTGGTTCTTTGAGGGGCCTGTTTGCAAGCCTCCTGCCTCAGGACTATGTGCCATGCAAAAAGGCTTATAAAAGACTTTGTTCGTGCCTTTTTGCTATCCTGTTCGGGAACCGAACAGACACATGAACCAGGGACCACCTGGGAGCTTGTTAAGCCCTATCATCACCTCTTAATAATTCTAACCGCAGCGTTCTAATTGTTCGTGTGGGTGCAGTTCGCATGGTCGACCACGAGGTGGTGGCCATCTTGTTCCTGCGACAGCAGGCAGCAGTGTTTGGTCCTCGAGTTAATGGAACTGTTTTCGAACACAAACTCCCAACCACCACAGAACTTCCATCGTAACCTACGTTCGGTACTTTACATCCTCGAAGAGCGCTGTTCGGTGGAATTGTTTGCCTGAATGAGATGAACAAGCTCCATGGTGTGAATATTGACTACGTTCATATTGTGTTCGTTTGGGAACTACAGAACTAGACTGACCGCAAGCCCTGATTCTCTGAAACGGTTTTGGACATGGGACCATGTGTTCGGTCGGTCAAACTAAGACTTCCATGGAAATCCTAAACCCCTGAACCGATCTGGGTGATTTTTAGATATGTTGGTCCCCCAGATCGGGGCAATCAGGAGATATGACTACATTGGGGTTTCCATGTGCTTTGGGGGTATTTTTAATATGTTATATAAATGTGTGTTTTTGTGTTGAGATAATTGAGTTAATACAGTGCTTGATTCAATTATCACCCAGGCACAGAGGGATTTACCCATTATGTATGGGAGTGTCCTGAATCTGAGAGCCAATGTGATTGTGTATTTATTTCTACTGTGGTTTACTCTCAGGTCCAGGGGGGAGTGCCCCTTGCATGGGGACTGTCATAAAAGGCCAGTTGTGGCTGCCATTAAACAGTTCCTCTTCACCTTCAACATAGAGCCTAGTCTACACTCTCTTGGAGGAGAGGTCTACCCACTGGAAGCTGGTCTTGGGTCCAGGGTGGGTGGAGGACAGCGAGACCCCAAACTAACGCTGGAAGTGGGGGCTTCAGTGCTGGTGGTGTCTGGTGGAGTGCTTTGAGTACTCTGGGAGCAGAAGGAGCATTGGCAGAGGCACCTGGATGGGGTGCTAGGCGGTCCACCACAAGAACTTATTCCTAAATGATCACTAATTTTACTAAAAGGTTAACAATACAAAGCCAAAGCGATCTCAGGTCTTTGGAGTTTCTTTTTTATATAATCTCTTACATTATTCCTTGATTACCTTCTACTTTTGTCCTGTCTTGCTTGTTTTTCCGTTTTCCTCTAACCTTCCCTTGTCTCTCTCCGCTCTATCCCTCTCCGCCCTTCCCTCGGCCGCCCTCTCCACCTTTCCCCTCGGCCGCTCTCTCCCTCTCCGCCTTTCCCTCGGCCGCTCTCTCCCTTTCCGCCTTTCCCTCGGCCGCTCAGTCCCTCTCAGTCTTTCCCTAGGCCACTCTGTCCCTCTCTGCCCTTCCTTTGTCATATCAGTCTAACAAATATTCCTCTATTCTCTTTAGCCCTCACAAGAGTCTTGTGGTAGTTTTTTTTTCTCTCAATCCACCTTCCCACTTTCAAGCCCCCTTTGTGCTAGTTCTCTATAATATCTCTTTCTTGCCTTCTTTCTCTCATTTTAGAAACATAGAATGTGACGGCAGATAAGAACCATTCGGCCCATCTAGTCTGCCCAATTTTCTAAATACTTTCATTAGTCCCTAGTCTTATCTTATAGTTAGGATAGCCTTATGCCTATCCCACGCATGCTTAAACTCCTTCACTGTGTTAACCTCTACCACTTCAGCTGGAAGGCTATTCCATGCATCCACTACCCTCTCAGTAAAGTAATACTTCCTGATATTATTTTTAAACCTTTGTCCCTCTAATTTAAGACTATGTCCTCTTGTTGTGGTAGTTTTTCTTCTTTTAAATATAGTCTCCTCCTTTACTGTGTTGATTCCCTTTATGTATTTAAATGTTTCTATCATATCCCCTGTCTCGTCTTTCCTCCAAGCTATACATGTTAAGATCCTTTAACCTTTCCTGGTAAGTTTTATCCTACAATCCATGAACCAGTTTAGTAGCCCTTCTCTGAACCCTCTCTAAGGTATCAATATCCTTCTGAAGATACGGTCTCCAGTACTGTGTACAATACTCCAAGTGAGGTCTCACCAGTGTTCTGTACAATGGCATGAGCACTTCCCTCTTTCTACTGCTAATACCTCTCCCTATACAACCAAGCATTCTGCTAGCATTTCCTGCTGCTCGATTACATTGTCTGCCTACCTTTTAACACACAACCATTAGAATCGCCTGTGGCAAACCTAGCCACTTGGGACTGCCTAAGATAGAATGGTTGTGCCTATTTTCTGTTGTGTACTGCGCGCCGGTATAGTGTGGCGTCTCCGGCTAGGTTTAATTTATGCTGTACTGTGTATGTCTGTTCGAATCCTCCCCATTCGTTAGCATTGCTATTAAAACTGACTAAGTTGTATATTTTGAAGTAGAAAGGTAACGGTTTATGTCCTCGTAGTTTTCATTACTGTATGTTACAGCAGGGGCTGTTGGGAGGAGGACCTGGAAACGGTAGTCTCCCTCCAGTCCCCTCAACCAAAACCCCTGCTGCCCATCTTTGGAAACCCCTGTTGAGTGACCTGCTTTAAATATCAGTTATTTTTAATAAAGTGACAGTTGAGTGACCTGCTTTAAATATCAGCCTTTTTGAATAAAGTGGCAGTTGACTCTCAGACTGTGTTTCGTCTGGTTCTTGGGAGGATTTGGGAATATTGCCTGCTTCCAGCTTTGTACTTGGTTATTGCATTCTACCAGCAGAGATCCTGGGATTATAAAATTGCAGCTCCGCAACATCGCCTATTAATATTGTTTTCTGAGACATCTTTTCTTTCCTGTGTGTACAGCCATCTCTTTTCCCATATACTCATGCAACTATACTCTAATTATCTGCTTGCCATACAACCAACTAGAAGACTGTAAGCTCATCTGAGCAGGACTTGTTTTTCATGTGCCTTACATATTCAAAGTCCTCATCTTATGTTTCTCATTGCTCTTGCAGTGTCTCCTTTTCGAGGAGCTTCCCCTCTCTATTACCCATTTCCACTGGAGTTCCTGTAGCAGATGGCACTGGGCTGTCCTGAGAATTGCATAGGTTTTAACTGCATTCGTCTAAATGGCAGGTTATATGTGTATAAATGTATTGTATTCGTCTGATTGTTCGGTAGAATCATTCTAACAAATAAAGGAATGAAACTACTGAACAGTCAGACCTCCCCGGTGTGAAGTGTGCCTTCAATTACCCGTTGCAACATTTTTGCGAACGGGTAATTAACAAGCTGAGCAGTAGTCCTATGTTCTCGGGGGTGGCCGCCATTCGGGAAACGAACACGTGGCGGCAACCATTTTACAAACTCCCGAACAGCGGTGTTTTACCGTCGAGTGTCTGGAACTCAAATCGGACACTCGACTAGGCGAACACCGCTGAGACCTCCACAAGCCCGGTCCATTCGGTTACAAACTACCGAACGGCCCCTCGTTCGGTAGACAGAAACAACCGAACGAGGGGATTCAGGCGAACCCTCACTAGTCTCAGTAACTGGAGGCTTTCGTGTAATTTATTCCCTTGTTCCAGGACCAACCTCAGTGCCCCATCGCATGGAACCCAATTCGGCTATTCTTTCCAGCGCGGTTGGTCATTTTATTCCCTCCATAAATTTCCCAAACCCCTTGTCTGATCTGGGTGATTTTTGGATATGTTGTTCACCCAGATCAGGGCTACCAGGGGATGTATAATTTAAAGCGGTACCCCTAGGTTTAGGGGTACATCCAGAAATGGGGGGAATTGGTGTCCTGGATAAGGGGATTATGATGCAGGCTGAGGGGAGGAGATGTGTGGGAGGTTACCAGAACAGGATTGGCTACTGTACTAATGAATGGAAATCCCTCCCTTGCAGGGGAGCATGCTTTATAAGGCCACTGTATGAATAAACCTTTAGTTCTGCTCCTGATACTGTGTGTCGTCCGGTTATTGGGAGTGTTGTTGGGATACTGCTGTATTGTTTTGCCTGCTGGATACTTTGCCTATGGATTTATAATTACTTGTTCCTGAGCCTCACTGGGATCTAAAGTGGAGAAAGGCTGTGTAATACCAGCTCTCCGCTACAGTTCCCAATGCTCGGTTTTGGGGTTCCTTCTGCCGTTACATTAAACTTCCACTATTGCCAACTATTAATGTTCTTTGTGTTTCAGTTAACACCTACAGGAAGATAACACTCCTTTCCACTATTCTCATTCCTTCTGTCCTGGATGGTGTCATTAAGTGCATCTGCCCCTAACCAGAGGACTAACCCCTATTGAAACATGGTGTTGGTCCATTCCACTGTCCTTTCTCGCCTTGACTACTGTAATCCGCTTCTCAGTGCTCCCAACTAGCGCTGTTACAGTCCATAATGAATGCGGCGGCAAGGCTCATCTTTCTGTCCGCACGCACCTCCCATGCCTCACCCTTCTGTCAGTCCCTACATTGGCTTCCTATAAAATATAGAGCTCAATTTAAAATTCTGGTTCTTGCTTTCAAATTTCTACATAATGCTGCTCCCACCTATCTATCCTCCCTTATACACGAGTATGTCCCGTCTAGGCCCTTACGATCTGCTGAAGTCTTACGTCTATCTTCTGTCCGTACTCCCACCTCTGATGCTCGCCTTCAAGATTTCTCGAGGGCTGCACCGTTCCTGTGGAACTCGCTTCCCTCCTCAGTTAGATGCTCACCCAGTCTCCACTCCTTCAAAAAATCGTTGAAAACCCACTTCTTTATAAAAGCGTATCAATTAAACTGTTAATAGCTCCTGACTGATTCCTCTTCTGCAACTGTCATTAGTCTAATACTATCCTTACCTTTTGTGTCATTTTACCCCACTCCCTCTAGCATGTAAGCTCATTGAGCAGGGCCCTCAACCCCTCTGTTACGGTGTCACTATACCCCACTCCCTCTAACATGTAAACTCACTGAGCAGAGCCCTCAATCCCTCTGTTCCTGTGTGTCCAACTTGTCTGGTTACAACTACATGTCTGTTCGTCCACCCATTGTAAAGCGCTGCGGAATTTGACCGCGCTCTATAAATATCATCATAATGGAGACCACTGTATGTTTATTTTATCACATGGGGCTGCTTGTGGAATTTTGTCTGTGTATATGTCACAGTGTGTTTGGTGGGGTGTGTATATGTGGGATTGTATATGTGGATATGTCACATGTCACTTCTACGCTTCCTAGACTGCAATATTCACTCCAACAGTTTAGGGGAAACAATGTAGCATGTGGTTTCCATTTATACTAACTTACTTAAAAACATCTTCAATACAAAAAACAAAAACAGTCTGGCAAAAAAGACTCACATTAACTCCATGAAAGTTCCACAACATGGACTTTTGTTGCCAACGGTTTAGACATTAATGGCTGTGTCTGGGGTTATTTTGAGGGGACAGCAAATTTACCCTGTTATACAGGCTGTGCACTTACTACTTTACAGTGTAGCCGAGTGTCACATGAAAAGGTATAATAAAATATTTACAAAGATGTGAGATACTGTACATGTCTATAGAGATACTTACTATTTAAGAAATACCTAGCAAAATAAAATATTTCACAAAACGAAGATCATTTTCATCAATTTATTGTATAGTTGCAGCATTTTATGAACAGAGGTAGAAAAATACAGATTAAGGTCACCCAGTCAAGGGTTAGATACAGGTTTAAGTGCGAAGACCAGGGGAGGAATCGAAACATGTATTTAGAGAATGAGAACTATTATTACACAGTCAGTAAATAAAAAATGTATATATTAAAAAAAAAAAAAAATCACATAAAACAGCTGAAACTAAGACATGGGAACTAGGTTGCAATCTGCCAGAAAAGTGCAATTCTTCCTTCCACAACCAGAGGGCGCTTTGCTGGGAGGAGCCAGTGAGATGGCTGGATTTCCATCTAGAAGAGATGTAGGCAACCTTCAGCACACCAGATATTGTGAACTACATCTGCTCTGAGGCTTTACAGAATGTTGCCTACTCCTATTCTAAGACATGCTGCCCCAGCTGTAACGGACAGGAAGTACCATAGAGAGGAAGCAGATTTCAGTGCCTTACTGAGATATAGTCAGTGCTTCTCTATGGTTTGTTTTTTTCATTATTTTGATCTGAGAGAGCAAAACTTTCAGAAATCTACAAAGAAGAAAGTAGTAACAAAGAACGGGTTATAACTGCAGAACTATAATAGCAAAAACTCAGGAACCATCGGCTATTTAACATCATCTTACCCTTAACGAGGAAAAGAAATGGCCACAGATGTAGGGAAATTAATAGTGCAAATCAGGTTATGGCTTACAGACAGAAAGAACAGTTTCTTAATATAAAATAAAAAACCTAAAGCTCACACACAGCTCCATGTCAAGTCCTCACCATAAATTATGCTGAGACAATAATTACCGTAACTACTGGCGTTGGCGTCAACGAGGAAGATATCGACAAAGATTCCTACACATTGAGGCAACCATTCCATCCGAATTCCGTATAACAGTTACATGACAACATGAATTTCACAAAAATGTAAAAGCCAGCATACACACTCACGGCATAGATCTCGAGCCCATTGCAATCGTTCGCATAATCTGCAAGGCAGTAGTGGAGGGGCAGGATGTAAAGAGACAAAATGGCTCCCAACATGCAGAACCACTAAGGACTAGTGGCAAAAGTAAAAACTGGCGCAATTTAGGGCAAAGTGGCACACTGCCCGTTTCATCAATGCTCCAGTTTAACTTTTATGAATATGGACCTAAATGCACCGGTCCATAAAGATAAACAGAATTTTCTTTAGGAAAATATTTGGGGAAAAAGAACCTAATGAATGTTAAAAGCACAAACCTATATATGTTTAATGCTTTCTTTCCAAGAGAGAGTTTGCATAATCGGAGAATCTTCCCAAGAGACAGTCCATAAAGGAGCGGACCCATTCTATTTAAAAATGCATTAAAGATATATCCAAAAATAAAATCTATAATATATATTTATACATATAACACAAAGAACCACATTAGACGATTAGGCTGTGAGCTCTCACCATCCAATCGCGATTCTCACTGTCTATCGCTTTAGGATCACAGTAAGGGTTTCTGGAAGTTGAACATTCTACTGTAGAAAGCAGACGGCTGAACTACAACTAGACAGAAGCCTGACGATTATTGCTGGATCAGAAAAGGGGAAACTCAGGTCGCAGGTTGGCTTGGTAAGGAGGGGAAGGAGGGTGAGTTTGTGGAGCAAATCTAATCATCATCAAAAAAAAAAAAAAAAGGTTTATAAAAACGCATCTTAAGCGTAAGCAATAGGATATGAGGAAGATGGACTAACCTGATAATTACACCTAAATCCAAGACCAGGGAGAACGTAAGTTAACTAATACTATAAATATAGAAAGTACGGTGGCAGGTGTAACGTGGGGCAGAAACGTTATGTATAGGAGCCCTCAATCTATCCAAAAACACACCCAAGGCTTGATACGTTATAATATATACACAAGATAAACAGTAATGCAAAAGATACTGTTACCAGGCATTTCAGTACCCCGAGAAAAGGCACATTAAAGCCCAACAGTCACTAATTTCACCAGTGACACAGGGCGCTCCTTCACTGCCACACAGACACAGGTCGCTCCTTTACTGCAGCACAGGCACAGAGCTCCTTAACTGCAGCGTAGACACAGGGCGCTCCTTAACTGCAGCGCAGGCACAGAGCTCCTTAACTGTCGCACAGACACAGGGTGCTCCTTAACTGCAGCGCAGGCACAGAGCTCCTTAACTGCAGCGCAGGCACAGAGCTCCTTAACTGTCGCACAGACACAGGGTGCTCCTTAACTGTCTTACAGACACAGGGTGCTCCTTAACTGTCTTACAGACACAGGGTGCTCCTTAACTGTCTTACAGACACAGGGCGCTCCTTAAGTGTCGCACAGACACAGGGTGCTCCTTAAGTGTCGCACAGACACAGGGTGCTCCTTAACTGCAGCGCAGGCACAGAGCTCCTTAACTGTCTTACAGACACAGGGTGCTCCTTAAGTGTCGCACAGACACAGGGCGCTCCTTAAGTGTCGCACAGACACAGGGCGCTCCTTAAGTGTCGCACAGACACAGGGCGCTCCTTAACTGTCGCACAGACAATGCTATTAAGACAATTGACAATGCGCCTTTGAGAGCGCTCTGCTAAGAAAGCACGGCTGAAACAGAACTCAGACGACGAACTGTCAGAAATTCTTATAACATAAACAAATAAACTTCTCATGAGACCAACAGCCTAAAACAGGGTTTTCCTGTTGATTTTTCACATTAGTTTGCATACAAGCTTCCAGATAAACTAGAAAGGAAGACAGAATTGTAAGAGATCACAAGTAAAATCCTCTATCCTGGGACAACAAACAGTCTCACACCCCCCAGTTACTACTGTAGAGTGATTACTAAAACCACTAGCATTAAAGGTGATCGAATTCCAGCTGTTTGGGTTCCTGAGTGAGCAGATTTAATGATATCCTTCATGAGACATTTAAAATGATCTTTGAATACATTAAGATGCAACAATTAAAAAAGATAAAATAATTAACAGAATTATCCTACTCAATGACTAAGACTTGAAAGAAATATTTTATGGTGTGATATTTAAGAACTGGATTCAGATGAATAGGGTGGTAAGACCACTGGGTACATATCACAGGTTCAAGTCACTCCAGCTGCCAACATAGGCGAGCAATCAGCTGTCATTTCGTGGTTTGCTGCAGTTTCGTGGCCACGCCACGCCTTTCCATATTCTAGAAAAGAAGACACCATCTTGGCCCTATTGCTGTCTATCTGGAAAATGTGACAAAGAATCCCCGGTCACATGTAGTGTCTCGCAGAGCATGGAGGTGGGTGGGAATTACGGCTCCGAGCAAAACTCTGCAGATAAATGGACAAACTCTTCCAGAGAGTTGGGAACCTGATCGTTGTCTTCTCTTCTTCCTTTTCCCTGGTGAGATTCAAGACACAAAAAAAAGAAAGAAGAGAAGAGTTTTGTCAGAAAAAGATTACTTTCCAAAAAAAAAAAAAATCATTCAAAATGGAAAAAAGTTAATTCTGCGTAGAATATTAACACAGGGTACAGTCACCACGTTGTCAGCTAATCAAACCGCTATGAAATCTATGCTTTCAAATAGTTTAAATAATGCAGAGAAGGAAGTAATGGATTCAGTGTGAAGGACGCTGAACGGGTCTCAGAATTCCTTAAACTAATCACCGGTAGCAAACTTTTCCTAAGAGTAGTTTCCACGTCCCACATGAGGTCAATAAAATCCCAGCCGCTCACCGTGAAGAATAATTACATTCTCGCTGTATTACGGTCTGCCCTGTATGTACCAGTAGAGAGAGAATAAACGCAAACACACTTGTAGTGATCCAGAATCTATTCCCATTACACTTTATTCCCTCCATTATATATGTTGGGCTTTCCTTCTTTAATATTGATTATCATGGCTGTACTTTTATTATTCATTCCCAATCAATAAGAAACTCTACCAAGATTTAGAACCACCAGCTGTTATTGGACATATTGGAAAAGCTGCACTTCTGAGTAAGACGAAAATCAATGGAGATTATAATTACCCAGACGCTGATTAGGATAGTGCGGTTAGCTGCTCAGCTAGGGTAAAGAGGTTACTGGACCTTTCAATGACACCTCTGTGTCTCAGTTAGTAGATGCACCAACTAGAATGTTTGTCTGGCTCTTGTAAGAATGAATAATAATGAACTTTTGTCTAACACTCAATAAAGGGAGCACAAAATAACCACATGGGAAGTGGCCATAATACAGTGACCATAAAACACAATGCATTGGTTTCACTTAAAGGGACACTATGTCCTTTTATAGAAGATAAAATATACATAAAAAGACTTATCCCAATCACCCTTAAACATATGTATTATACTAACGCACTAACATATTCCTTTAAAACATCATTTTAAAAAGGTCAATTTGAATAGGACTAGACAGCCTTACAACTCATTGACTGGCAACTCGTTGACTAAACTCATTAGGAAAGATCAAGGTATATACCATTAGTCAATGAATAAAAAAAAAATAAAATAAAATAAAAAGTATTTAAATTAGATGATTTAAAGGATCACTATAGGGTCAGGAACACAGACATGTATTCCTGACCCTATAGTGTTAACACCACCATCTAGCTCCCCTGGGCCCCTCATGCCTCCATAAATATAGCAAAATCTTACTGTATTCAAGCCAGAAGCTGTAAATCTGCATGCTGTTAGACTCAGGAAAAACAAGCAGTCTGCTGACATGTGGTAGCCTGATCCAATCACAGTGCTTCCCCATAGGATTGGCTGAGACTGACAGAGGCAGATCAGGGGCAGAGCCAGCATGATTCAAACACAGCCCTGGCCAATCAGCATCTCCTCATAGAGATTAATTGAATCAATGAATCTCTATGAGTAAAGTTCAGTGTCTGCGTGCAGAGGGAGGAGATACTTAATTACAGGATGCTGTGCACAGTGCTGCCCTGTGCTCTGCTGACAGCAGATCTGAGTTGACGGAGGCATATTATGCCTCCATCAACTCCGAAGTCCCTCTGGTTCACTCTGAGCGACTGCAACTGGAGGTGTTCCTAGCTTTCAATGTAAACACTGTATTTTCTCAGAAAATACAGTGTTTACATGAGAAAGGCTGCAGGGAGCTATAGTTCTCACCTGAACAACCTCATTAAGCTAAAGTTGTTAAGGTGACTATAGTGTCCCTTTAAAAAGCCTCACATTAAATATCAGGCTGCTCACAAATGCTTGTAAAAAGGCATGTAAATGGGATAAATTAGAAAATAAAACAGAGCAAGACTAACACCAAAAGGCATTTTTAACTACAAACATTTTTTAAAAAGTGTTGATTGACTAAAATCAGCAATGGTGTATACTTACTGCAACATGATTAGATGACAAGATAAAATGCTACAACAATTAAGTTAATGTAAACAAAGCCCCGTGGCCAAATGGTATTCACCCACATGTACTTAGGGAGTTAAGTATAGTAATAGTCAACCTAGATTTAGATTACCGTATATACTCGAGTATAAGACGAGTTTTTCGGCACATTTTTTGTGCTGAAAAAGCCCCACTCGTCTTATACTCGAGTCACTGTCTGTATTATGGCAACTTACATTGCCATAATACAGACCAGGACCGCAGGACTAATTACAAGCCCGGCGGTCCTGTTGGGGGCTGGGAGCAAGCTGTTACTTAACGTTACAGCAGCTCCGTTCATCTCCCTTCTCCTCCATGCCGTTCAGCTCCAGTGTAAGTCTCGCGAGAGCCGCAGCCGTCAGAGCGTGGCCACGGGTTACCGTGGCAATGCTTCGCGCAGCACGCAGACCACAAGATTTATACATGAAACTGAACAGCACGGAGGAGAAGGGAGCTGAACAGAGCTGCTGTAAAGGTAAGTAACAGCTTGCTCCCAGTCCCCCTCCTGCACAGTCCATCCACTGGACCACCAGGGAATAATATATCCCCCCTCTCTGGTCATGTATCAAGCAGGTAAATCTTGTTATCCCGTTATTTCTTTCCAAATGTCGGTGTCGCCCCATGTAAAGATCGCAGAGTGCCGGTACCGCCCCGTGTGAGGGTGCCAGAGTGGCCCCCGTGTAAGGATGGCCAAGCCCAGTAGAACTTGCCCAGAACATAACACTGCCTCCACCCGCCTGCGTTCTTCCCATAGTGCATCTGGTCTACCCCAGGAAAATGACATGTACCTGGTCATCCACCCGATCTAAAAAGAAAAATGTGATTCATCAGGCCAGGCAACCATTTTCCACTACTCCATGGTCCAGTTCTGAGGCTCACATCCCTATTGAAGGTGCCTTTAACGGTGGACAGAGGTCATCACGGGCACTATGACCTGTGTACCCCTATGCAGCCAAATATGCAGCAAATTCTGTTGCACTGTGTGTTCTGATACCTCCTTGCACCACTTTTGGTAGGTACTAACCACTGCATAACAGGAACACCACACAGATACTCAGACCCAGTGGTCTAGCCAGCACTATTTGGCCCTTGTTAAAGTTACTCAGAACTTTCTGCTTGCCTAATTTTCTTACTTCCAACACATGAAATTCAACATCTGACTGTTTACTTTCTGCCCAATACATCCCACCCCATTGAGAGGTGTCAATATAATCAATGTTATTCACTTCAATAGTCCGTGGTTTTATTGTTGTGACCGATCGTTGTAAATCGTTTAGTCTTAAAAAATAATTTAAGCAAATTTTAAAGCCATCAGAGGAAAAGATTATCCAGTGGCAGGCACTTTAATCAGTTGTAATCAATATAAACTTGGAAAAATGGGACCAAATGTAAAAAGTGGACTCGTGGTCACTAAATATTTATGTGAAAGTAAAACAGCATAAAAACACCACCATTTCCTTACAATACGTGAAGTTGTATTTTCTGAAAATGTGTCCATTGGATGTAAAACGCACTGGACAAACACGAAAAGGTAAAAAAAAAAAAAAAACATACAATGTCCTCTATATAATAAATATTTTATTCTTTCAACAAGGAGTTTGCTTTATTGGTAGAAATAGGACATAAACTGGCCTTTAATAGAGATATAAAATGTTTGTAAATACACGCACACTTGTTTCTAGTCACGTCCTGTTTTCACAAATTACTAGAAATTAAATGGAGGTTTTTTTTTGTTTTGTTTTTTTAAACTAAACTTGCTTTTGTTGCAAATCTGTGGATGTTATACCGGTTATATGAACAAAACAAAACCATAATGTGCAGATCATGTAAACATCTAGCCCTTCTACTGCAGTTGAAGTTATTTGGACCTGCGGGGGGTTTCAACAGCGTCTCCATGATCCTAGTACCACATTTATAATTATTAAGTGTTGGTAACGGAGAAAATGTAATCATCAGGCTTAACCTAAATTATTATTTGGTATCGAGTCAAATATTTTGAAGACGATTCACGTGATTAACCTTCGAAGGAGAAAAGCGTTCATTGGAACTGGAAGGATAAAGAGGCAGAATTAGCTGTAACTCTGGTAAGGGGTTATGGTCCTCTAAATAAAGATGGCCCCATGTGTTTACAATTTCATGGCATATCATTCCCAGCCAGCCCCTTATTTATGCTTATGAAAAGACTGATGATGAGGATGTATCTAGAAGAATAATTCTGTAATATGATGAAGATGTGAGAAATATACTTCATGAAATGGAGGAAGCTGGGATCATTCAAGCGCCTACAAGTCCACATGCCTCACCTGGTTGTAAGAAAGAAGAATGATTCAGATTATGCATCAACTATATACATTTTAAATAAGAAAACTATTCCTGATCAATCTACTCTTCCACAAATAGAAAATCTCCTGAAAGTTTTATCTGTAAGCAAGTGCTTTAGTGTATTGGACCTCCGTTTTGGGTATTACCAAGTTCCAATGAAAATTGAGATCAGGAGAAAACTGCTTTTAGATGCCCTTTGGGTTTTTTTTAAATTCACTCGAATGCCTCCTGCAATCTTTCAGCAATTAATGGAGAAAACCCTAGGAGATATGAGCCACAGGGAGTGCCTGGACTATCTGGACGATTTAATCGTGTTTGGCAAAACCCCTGCAGAGCATGAAAAGCGGCTGTTGAAAGTGCTTCATTGTTTGCAGAAAGAAAGCCTAAAGTTGTCAATGGATAAGTGTAAATATTCTCAGAGTCCAAAGACCTATGATGAACACAATGTGTCAGCTGAGGGTCTAGCCACAGACCCATCCAAGATCAAAGCACTTACCAGCTGGCCTAGGCCAGACAACATTGAAGAGTTTCACAACTTTTTGGGGTTCTGATCGTAGTTTTGTTAGAGTTACTCTAAGATTGCCAAAGTCTGCATGATCTTCTGAAGGTAGAATCTGGGGAGAAAGGGCATAAGAGCCCTCATCCTAAGAAACATTTTTGAGAAAAGTGGACTTCAATTGCAAAGAGAAAAAAAAAGAAAACGTGTAAAACAAAATTAAAAACCAGACTGAAGCACCTGTGTTAGCATATGCTAATCCAGATAAACCATCCATGTCCTTCATGTAGATGCAAAGATCCACAAAAGACCAGAAAGTCACTATGGTGGCCAAAGTGTTATGGCAGAAATTCTTAATCCATTATGGGCTTCCTAACCGCTTGCATTCTGATCAAACTTGAGATTTCCAGAGCAAAATCATTAATAAATTGTAGAAATTATTACAGTGTCCCACTATCAATATGTCAGAAATCTGAAAAAAACTCTTTAAAAAAAAAAAAACCCTATAAATTAGCTCAGCAAGCTGCTACAAGATAAATGAGAAAAATAAGCTACAATATGATACCAAAGAACGATATAAGGGTATTAAGTCTGGTGATAAAAGTCCTTTAAATCCTTAAGGACCAAACTTCTGGAATAAAAGGGAATCATGACATGTCACACAAGTAATGTGTCCTTAAGGGGTTAAAGAAACCTAAAACACGCTTTTCGAAGTGGTCTCCAAAATGGAGGGGGGTCAAAGCAATCTAGAAAATGGAGATAGGATAGAAAGGAGATGGGCTTTAGCTCAGAACAAATGGGGTGGAGATAGGGGGAGAGGAAAGCTCAGAAAAGAGGAGGTATGGAATATTGATTATTCACAAAAAGTACAAATGACTCATGGTAATATTAAATGAATGCTTGCTAGTGCATGGAGCCTGTGAAGAAATCCCTCTTTTGTACAATATTTCTCCCCTATTTCATTCGGTAGATTTAACTACCGAACAAAGACCACCCCCTGGCTCATTAAACTTCAAAAACTGCTTCAATTGAACCCTCTATCTGTGCGGCCAGCGTTCGTACTTCCGAACGCAACGTGGCTGAGAAAATCACGGCCATCTTTTTTCATGCGAACAAAGGCAGCGGGATTTGGTCGTCGAGTGTCTGGAACTAAAAACGGACACTCGACTTCCCGAACACCGGTCTCAAACAGACAAACGCTGGAACTCTAATTACCAAATAGCTAGAAGAGCGCTATTCGGTACTTTGGTGCATTCGACAGAGGGGAATGATTGCTGCTGAGAGCCAGGGGGATCCATTCGGTACTTTATTCGCTTTTTCCCTTTTACTAAAGTGACCGGCAAAACCCACCAAACTCATGGAACTGTTTTGGGCAGCCAGCCCACTGTGAGCCGGTCACAGAAGACTTCCACGGTTTTTGAGAACCCCTGAACCGATCTGGGTGAAATTTGAATATGTTGGTCACCCAGTTTGGGGCTATCAGGGGACATACTATTTGTGGGGATACCTCAAGTGTAAAGGGGTGTTTCAGATATTGGGGAAAAATGATTTTTCTGCCTGTAGATAATCAAGTTATTACTTTATCAGACTTGATTATCTCCAGGGCTAGGGGAGGGAATTGTGGGTGTGTGTTATGTTTTTACAGTACCTGATTGGCTAATTTTTGTCCCTCCCTGGGGGATGTCCCCTTGCATGGGGACTTACATAAAAGCCTGTGTGCACTCATTAAAAGTTAGTTCAGTTGTACCCTTCTTCTTGACTTCGGCTGATGTTTGGGGATTCGGGTGTTTCACTAAGGGAATTATCTTATAAAGCTACTGGGATTACTATACGATTCGTCTACTTTATCTACCGAACGGAGAGCTATAATCACTGATGCTCTGGCGGTTCGGGAGGAAACTACCGAATGAGGTTTAAATATACTTTGTTTCCTTACAGAGCCTATATAGCAAAATGGGGGAACTAGAGGCATTAGCATTCACTAAACAATATGATCTAATAGGCATAACAGAAACATAGTGTGATGAGACACATGACGGAGCAGTTAACTTAAATGGGTACACGTTATTTAGGAAGGATAGGAAAAACAAGAAGGGTGGTGGGGTATGTTTATATGTCAGCCATGAGTTAAAGCCAAATCTTAGGCATGTGGAGTGTGACGAGGAAAATGTGGAGGCTTTATGGGTAGATATCTGCCTGGGGCAAACAAAGGGAAATAAATTATTGGTTGGGATATGTTATAAACCACCTAATGTAAATATTAATGAGGAAGAACAGCTGTTAGAGCAAATTGGGAAAGCTGCAAATCGGGGTAACAAGGTGTGTCCTAGTGCGTGTGCTAAAGATTAAGAGAGCAGAGAAGTATCAGTGCGTGTACTCGTTTACATAAGGCATGGCATGAACAAACTAAACAATAAAAAAAAAAAAATTTCAACTGATAAGAGAATTAACTGAGATGTCATTAAGTTGTGGTTATCAAGCCAATGGTACATAGTCCCAATAATTAATGTCTGTGGTCTTCAGGTCGTAGGGGGTCTTCAGGTACCTGCCGTTTCAGAGGAGCCCTGTATGGGCTGCCACGGTACAAAGGTTTTGACCCGCTCGGGGTCCCATCCATGTGGCGTATCTGCGTTTTCTGGTGGTGCCGTGCTGCGCATAGCCTCCTGATAGTCCCAAAGTGTGTGACAGGTCTTGTGCTCCTTTTAGATTGTAGACTGTGCGTTTACCCTCTCCTGTCAGTACCTGTAGGGAATGGTCTAGGCGCCATCTGTATTGTATGTTCTGTTGCCTGAAGATTGTGGTGAAAGGCTTGAATGACCCCCTGTAGCGTGGTCTGGAGGCCCGCCAGCAAGGCCTTCAGTACAGCCGTTGTGAGCGGTGCGCCGTCAGGGTGCAGGGGTATTGTCCCGACCGCAGGTAAGCTTGGTGTATCGGGTGTGTCCTCCCCCAAGGAGAAGTCATCGGAGTAGTCAGAGTATGTTTCAGTGTGGTCAGCCATCTTGGGCCTTGCTGTTCCGTGGACTCGTCTCCACATGGCCCCAATATCTTGGCTCTTCCTCGGCTGATCAGGCTTTTGTTTTTTAGATTTTCGACCCATGTCGGTTCTGCAATCGCTTCTCTGTATTTTCTGCCGTTTTAGCCAAGGTTATCGGTCTCATAAGGACGAAGTTTAGTTTGTATCGCTGGAGCTTCAGTGCCATGCGACTGCTCCGCTTTACAGTCAGGCTCTGCCCCCTGAGGAATCTGGTTTTTGAACTTGTTAAATGACACCTTCATGTCACAACTGGTAAAGAGCCTAGTAGAAAGGACGCTTGTCTGGATCTCGTTATAACAAACAATGTTGATCTTTTGACCAACATTCAAGTAGGGGAGCATTTGGGAAATCGTGATCACAATATGGTAACTTTTGAAATAAACTCAAAAAAGCAAAAGCATGCGGGGTATATTAAAAACGTATAATTTTAAAAAAGCCAATTTTATTAAGATTAGGGCAGCTCTACAACATATCGACTGGCATAAACTCCTTAGTGATAAAAACACTGAGGATAAATGGAAACTATACAAACAAATATTAGAAAGGTACATTTCACAGGATGTACCATTGGGTAATAATTATAAAAGAAACAAATTAAAACCAATGTGGCTTAGTAGAGTTGTAAAACAAGAGATTAAAAATAAGAAAAGGGCATTTAAAGCATTTAGATCGGACAAATCAGAGACATCCTATATAAGATATAAGGAAGCCAATAATACTTGCAAAAATGCAGTTAAAGTTGCTAAACTAGAAAATGAGAAATTGATAGCCAAAGAATGCAAAACCAACCAACATTTTTTTCAAGTACATCAATTCTAAAAAAACAAAAAATGAAAGTGTAAGTACACTTGAAACAGAGATGGGTTTATTAGCTAATGTAGACCAGGAAAAGGCTGAAATTTTAAATAACTTTTTCTTCAGTATATATTAATGAGGATCCTATGGCAAGAGATATGCAAATGATTGCTGCAACAAACTTGCAGATAACTTGTGATTGGATAACTTGAGACAAGGTGCTACAGCTATTAAAGAAAATTAATGTAAATAAAGCTCCGGGGCCTGACGATATTCACCCACGAGTACTTAAGGAGCTAAGTGGGGAAATAAGTGAATCTCTGTATTTAATTTTTCAAGATTCTTTTGTTTCAGGTGTTGTACCGGAGGATTGGAGGAAGGCAGATGTGGTTCCTTTATTCAAAAAGGGTTCAAAATCCTTGCATGGAAATTATAGACCTGTGAGCTTAACTTCTGTGACTGGCAAATTATTTGAAGGGCTATTAAGGGATAATATTCAGGAATTCATTGGGAAGAACTGTGTAATTAGCAATAATCAGCATGGTTTTATGAAACATAGGTCACGTCAAACTAACCTAATTGCATTCTACGAAGAAGTAAGTAGAAGTATAGATCAGGGTGTGGCAGTGGATGTGATCTACTTGGATTTTGACAAGGCATTTGATACGGTTCCTCACAATAGGTTAGTCTTTAAACTAAAAGAAATTGGTCTAGATGAATATTCTTGTTCTTGGGTAGAACACTGGCTTAAGGATTGAGTACAATGAGTTGTCATTAATGGTAAATTTTCAAGCTGGAGAAAAGTGGTAAGTAGTGTCCCTCAGGGTTCTGTTTTGGGAACGCTTCTATTTAACATATTTATAAATGATCTTGAAATGGGCATTGAAAGCCATGTATCAGTGTTTGCAGATGGCACAAAACGTTGTAAAGTAATAAAATGTGAGCAAGCTATAACTTTGCTGCAGAGGGATTTAGATAGACTGGGGGACTGGGCACTCAAATGGCAGATGAAAGTTAACGTAGAGAAATGCAAAGTTATGCACTTCGGGGTTAAGAATGCACAAGCAACTTACACCCTAAATGGTAGTGAACTAGGGATAACTACACACGAGAAGGATTTGTGAATTGTTATAGACAACAAATTAGGCAGCAATATGTCAATCTGCAGTTGCTAAGGCCAGTAAGGTTTTGTCATGTATACATAGGGGATAAATTCTCGGGATGAAAATATAATTTTGCCTCTTTATAAATCGCTGGTAAGACCACACCTTTAATATGCTGTGCAATTTTGGGCACCTGTTCTAAAGAAAGATATCATGGCACTTGAAAAAGTGCAGAGATGAGCTACAAAACTGATAAAAGGAATGGGGGCATTTTATGTAACGAAGAAAGGTTAAAAAATGTAAATCTCTTTAGTTTGGAAAAACGGCACCTGAGAGGGGATATGATAACTTTATACAAATATATTTGGGGCCAGTACAAACCTTTATCTGGAAATCTATTCATAAACAGGGCTATACATAGGACAAGAGGTCACACATTTAGGCTGGAAGAAAGGAGATTTCATCTAAGGCAAAGAAAAGGTTTTTTTACAGTAAGAGCAATACGGATATGGAATTCTTTGCTTGAAGAGGTGGTTTTGTCAGAGTCCATACAGATGTTTAAACTGCAATTAGATAAATACTTACAAAAACATAACATCCAGGGATATAATTTCTAATTAGTGGGGTAATAGCTGCTTGATCCAAGGAGACATCTGACTGCTATTTTGGGGTCAAGAAATATTTTTTTTCCTAGTTTGTTGCGAAATTGGAAGCGCTTCAGACTGGGTTTTTTGCCTTCTTTTGGATCAACAGCAAAAACAAATGTGAGGAAGGCTGAAATTGATGGACGCAAGTCTCTTTTCAGCTATGTAACTATGTAACATGTCTTGCCAGTGGGAGGCTGTGAATTTTACAAGGGAGAGAATATAACCAGGATACAGATCCTATAGTTCTAACCACTTTGCCCTTCATTCCTGTAACCTGATGGTCAGTGTACCCAGCCAATGAAGATTTATAAGTAAAATTATGGAGGAGCATTTCCAAAACTCACTTGATAAAACGTTTTATATGTAGATGCTCCTCTCCGGTCAGTGCATGTTATTTTTTTGGTCTCCAAGAAAAACAGAGATCTACGTTAATGTATTGAATAATATTCCACTTATCACCGAGCTGTTTGACAGAAGCCCCGATATTTATGGGGATCACCACTAAATCTGGGAGGAGGAAATAGGCTTATTGACGGCACGGTGAGTTCTAGATAATGCAACAGCAGCTTGTTGAGTATGTGGAGTAGGGAGCGATTCAGGTTGGAGATAAAAGGTACACGCCAGCAAAGTCTGAAACACCTGAACGAACTGATCCATGCGGTGTGATCGAGTTTAATAACCATTGCCTCACAATTTGACATTTTTTGTCTTAGCATGTCATCCCCATCTACCCAGTGGGGTGGGTTTCTTCGTATGCAGAATCACTGAGTGGAGGCACTGATAACGACTAGATGTTCCGTTCTCCAGATTTGGGTGAAAACTCAGACTCCCTGTTAGCGTCAAAATAGAATGTAGCCGCTGCCCATTCTTTACATCTTCCAAAAACATGTAAGAAAGGGGTTACATGGGGTTAGCTCACTAAGCTGGGAATTATCATGAAGCATTAAGAAAGAGGCAAATTTCACTTCCGCTCAGAATGTTAATTTTAATAATGACCTTTAAATAGCTTTGTAAAACCATCTACTGACTGGTAATAATCAATCGTTGAAAATATATAGACTGAAAGGTTAACATTTTAAATAAAAATAAATATCACTATCATGTATGAAAATATGGGAGGGCTCAAAATTTCCACTCGCCACTAGCAGGCAGATGGCTGCTTTATCCCCGGCAAGTAGAGATTCATCCAGGTGTGTGACACGGACCCTCCAGGCATGCAGTGGACAGTAACGTTAAAAGCCATGCTAATGGCATAGGACTTGAGATTTTAAGACCTATTGAATGGCATTAGCTATTTCGATCTTCATATGCAGACTAGGAGATATTTTTGAAGGCTGGTTTCCTTCTTGTCATGCCCGTGAAATAAGGCGTTTCAGTGGAACAACGTTCATGGCCGCCCACTTTGGACACAGAACATGGCAGATCATTGTATTATTCATGGCAGATTCACAGCGATATTGCACATTAGTTTCAGCGGCTCGGGATCACCGAGTGATAGTTGGTGCCTTTAAAACTGGCTGACAGTCTCTCGTTCTCCTCCAGTCTATAAGTTAAACCACTTTAATTACACATGTGCTGAGAGGATATCATTCATCAAGTGATTGGTTATGCAATTCATCAGCACCAGAGCTGGTAGTAAATGTATTGATAACTAAACTACACAATGCACTTGATGTGTGGGAACCTGGAGTGTCCCTTTATTAATATAAACCCACCCAGTATAACTGTGACCTAACCTACACAGTGCATCTAACGTGTGTGGGAGCCTGGAGTGTCACTTTAATAATATGAACCCACCCAGTATAGCTAACTGTAACCTAACCTACACAGTGCATCTAACGTGTGTTGGAGCCTGGAGTGTCCCATTAATAATATAAACCCACCCAATATAACTGTAACCTAACCTACACAGTGCATCTAACATGTGTGGGAGCCTGGAGTGTCCCTTTAATAATATAAACCCACCCAGTATAACTAACTGTAACCTAACCAACACAGTGCAACTAACGTGTGAGTTCAGCAAAGAGAGGTGGGTTTAGGATTTCTCTGAGGACGGAACAGATGGGGGTGAATTAACAGCGCACCAAGGATAAGGGTGGGGAGGGAGGCTTAGAGCTCACTCAGGACAAGAGGGGGGTTAGCATGGACAGAGGGGATAAAAGTGCACTGGGGATTAGAGCTCACTCAGGACAAGAGGGGGGTTAGCATGGACAGAGGGGATAAAAGTGCACTGGGGATGAAGGTAGAAACATGCAGCTCTCCGATTTCATCCATACCTGTTTGTACTGAATCAAACTGTCGTTTTCCTGTTGTAACCGCTTCCTTTCAATCTCGTCAGGTTTGTATTTTTCAGGGACGACATAATCTGTGGGTCGGTCGGAGCTACACATCTCACAGCCAGGCCGAGTCGGTTTATTAATATACGTGCAAACAGAACATGCCCAGCCATCTGCCTGCAAATGAAGAACAGTAACAGTCATTAAGCTGTGCAGAAAAAAGAAATACGTCAATCAAAACTTACCATTCCATTATATAGAGTAAAGCTAATGCTAAAGGAGTATGACATTCCATTCTATAAAAATTAGAAAACAAAATATAGGCGGCGCTCAAGAGTCAAAAAACAAACATGCTGTGCTGGTATTTCACCCAAGTATATTGTCACTAAATATACTTAGAGAAAGTGATGCCTATGATGCCTTGGATTTTATACCTCTTTACAAATGGTGCCCATGACTTCGGGCTTACAAGACTCTAAAGACCTCATTTGCATCTATATCTTTTTGGACGCTGTGATCACCCGTTGGAAATGATTTTCCGTGCAGCAAGAAGTCACAGGAAGTGACGTATCGGACTTTGGAATACAGACCCGATACGTCACAGGAAATGACGTAACGGGAATCACACGATGACTGCTACTCCAGATTGAGGACTCCAAAAATTTACAGTTTGATTCTGTTTTAAAGAAAGAAAGATTTCCATCCATGTTTTCTAGTTATTATTTGCTTTTTTCTTTAACTGTGTGATTTGCTTTTATATAAAATGTTACCAAGATTGCGGGGACATACATCCGAACCAGAAATGTCGCCATTTTGGGGGTGGCAGAACACGCTTCCGGTTCGGACCTGATTTGGTAATGGGAGTGATTTGTGTAACATGTGTAATTAATTGTGTGTTTATGTATACCTATAAAAGTATTTTCACAGTTGTGTAACATTCACTAGCACCTGAGGAAGACCCTTTGTGGGGTTGAAACGTTTGTGTTTTATAATTTAATATATAACAATTAATCGTTTTTTTAGTTGATTACCTCTCCTTGGAGTTCCTGATTTTCAACAACCCTGTATCCTGTGGGACCCAAATACTGGATGAAGCTACTGTGTCCATAAGGAGACATACATGCTCCATAAGTTCAGAGGCAACTTTAATGGGCTCAGAAACTGTTTTGAATTTTGACATCTACTCACCAAATATGTATACAGATTACAAACACAAAGAAAATAAGGCGGAGTATCTTACATGCACTTTCCAAATAATCCTTTACATAGGTACATTCCTATAATGTGCCCTAAAAGGAAATAAGACAATAGATAATAGTGCAATAAAATAAGTGTATATATGGTGAAAAAAACAATATAGGACAAAGTGCTACAATCACCAGCAATGTGGGTCACTCCACCTCACATAAATAAATGGTTAAAACAGTAAAAAATGGTGAGAGCACAGAGAAACAATAATTACCCTTATATTCATTATAAAACCTGTAAAAACACAATGGGAAAAACAGGCATAGGGTAATAACGTACAAATAATATATGAATGAGTAAATACTTGAATAAACTCACATATTCATGAGCCACTTAATATGGAAGCTGGCTCAGACTAGGAACATTGAATGGATTAGTGAGGTGGTCGTTGTAATCCAACTGCTTAATTGCTTGCTCCTTCTTGCTTTACAAAATCCAGGATGCAGGATCTTTAATGAAAACCTTTATTCGGTATAGCAGCAAAAAAAGACAGCAGCAGTAAAAATTAAAATTCAGCAATTCCACCTCTGCACACTAACGCGTTTCAGCCAAAGCCTTTATCAAAGTGTGAGTCCATTCAGTCAGTTCCATTTTTAAATAGGCAAATTTTCGCGCCTTTTTTCGGAAATAAGCTCCTCCCCCTTCTTTTTTTTGTTGCAACTTTATTGGGCATCCTAGCATCCTTAACGATCTCAATTTACTTCCATGTTCATTGAAGAAAAGGAACAGCGAACTAGTCCATTCACTTAAACAGTCTTTCATGTTGCAATAATCAGAGTCCTATTGGCAACATACTTCATACATATTGTCAATAACATTAAAACAAATATTATAGTCAGATATTCTTATTGCAATACGTAGAATATTAGCAACAGTTAAACTCTCTCTTTCTCAAAAAAAGGATTAAAAAAAGGTAAAAGAGAGGCAAAAGAAGAGGGAATAAATTTAAAAGGGAAATAAAAGATCAAAATAGAAAAATCTTCTTATTCACATTTAAAGGTATATCGGGAGAATGCATCATACTTAAAATACACTTATTATAATCAATATTTATAAAATATTAATCAGTATTACTAAAATTAGAATTAAAAAATATCTTATTAATATAAAACAACCTAAAATAATATCCAATAGATTTAATAAATAATTATAGTTAAATATAAGTATTAATTTCAAAATCTACGTTTAATCCCCCCGGTGTAAGTGTATCCAAATTAAAAATCCATTTCATCTCATTTTTGCTTAAAAGATTATCCTTATCACCCCCTCTCCAGTGTATTTTAATATGATCTATTGCAAAAAAATCCAGGCCTGCTGGGTCTCCATCATGATATTCCAAAAAATGTTTAGATAAACAATGGTTAGGGAATCTTCTCCTGATGTTGTATATATGCTCCCTAATTCGTATTTTTAATGAACGAGACGTTTTCCCTACATATTGTAACCCGCAGGGACATGTTATCATATAAACAACATCAGCAGTATTGCATGTGATAAAGTGTTTAATTTCATATTCTGTTTAGTATTAAAAGAAATGAATTTAAAGGTGGAACGCAAGGACCGGAAACCGGAAGTTCGGCGAGCCGGAAATAAAGAAAGGGACGACGAAAAAGGCGGTAATAGACGGTTTTTAAATTGTGAAGAGACATTGAGGAAAATTTACAGCAACTGAGGAAGCCCCTTGAAGGGGCGAAACGCGTTTTGCTACAAAGACTATTCTACAGAGATTGTAAGGTCTTTTAAAATTGTTTTATTTCTTTTGATTTAAATAAATTTTTTATTATTTTATCATACTCCATCTGCGAATCTGTGATTATCCTTAACAAGGATCCCGGAATACAGAGAAGGGAGTGGGACTCTTTACATCCCACAAGGCGAATTGCTTGAGCCCAATTCATAGTGGCTCCATCTTTGTGAGTTTGCACTTGTTGAAATCTTATTGGATTTATGAAATTCACTGTACAGACAATATTGCACTATTATCTATTGTCTTATTTCCTTTTAGGGCACATTATAGGAATGTACCTATGTAAAGGATTATTTGGAAAGTGCATGTAAGATACTCCGCCTTATTTTCTTTGTGTTTGTACTCCTTTGTGGGTGAAGGTTAAGGGGACCTCACCAGGGTGTCAGAGTTACTTACATATCTGCACTTAGCTTACATTGGGTCACTGTAATCTATTATGTATACAGATTACACTATGTTGTGTTCTATTTGCATCTCTGTATAGGAAATATTTATGTTATTCATAACAAGAGGAATGTATGTATGAGGTAATAACTCCTTTTATATACGATGTGCGCTTATCACTTTTTTCTATTTTACACTGTATTCCATTCTATAGACCCTGGCTTTTGCTAAATGAGTAGGACATTCCATTCTACAGAACCCGGCTAATGGTAAACGAGTAGGACATTCCATTCTATAGAGCCCGGCTAATGGTAAATGAGAAGGACGTTCCATTCTATAGAGCCCGGCTAATGCTAAATGAGAAGGACGTTCCATTCTATAGAGCCCGGCTAATGCTAAATGAGAAGGACATTCCATTCTATAGAGCCCGGCTAATTCTCAATGAATCAGACATCCCATTCTATAGAGCATGATCATTGTAGTGGGAGCCGCCAGACAAGAACAGAGTATGTACAAACCATGGCTGGTGAGAGAAGTGGTGCGGGAACATGTACTGGATGCTTCGAAAATTCAGGGTTTAAAATTCTGGGAATATCTCTGAGCAGTTCATCATTTCCAGGCCTCGGGTTGGTTGAAGCTAAAAAACATTTATTAAAAACAAAACAAAAAAAACCCAGTTATTTTGATCATCAAGTAATCTGACATCTATATACCATGGAGACACGCCAGTATCCTTCCCACCAAACCAGAGGCATGGCCATTAAACTCCAGCCTTGGATTGTAAGAATTACGTACCGCTATTAGCATGTGTTCTGGTTGGGAGCGTTTTACTTTGAGTTTGTTTTTCCTCCAAGCTCACTAGAGGCTTAGACAGAGGCTGGGCGTTGTTGCTGACACAGTGATCTTGCGGGTGGAGTCTCCCCTGCTTGGCCGAGATGAGGTACAGGAAAGCAGTGTCGCCATCTTGCCTTATTCCATAAGAAGCAATTGTTCGATCATCTGAACAGAGACATTGGCCAATTATCCAGCGCTGAATATTTGGATGGAACAGAAATTCCCGAGAGATCTAAATAAAACAAGAAGGAGGTGAACACGGTCAAAAATAGAATTTTAAATACACAATAAAAAGGCCCTAAATTAAGGTTTTATTGTAAATAGCTGTTTAGTAGCAAGGTTTTCAGCAATCAATGATTTGGGAATAGTTTTCATTCCGAGCCACATCAATGGCATTCTATATTAAGGACAGCTGCAGGCTAGAAGGGAGGGTATATAGCTGCAGGCTAGAAGGGAGGGTATATAGCTGCAGGCTAGAAGGGAGGATAGAGGGTATATAGCTGCAGGCTAGAAGGAAGGATAGAGGGTATATAGCTGCAGGCTAGAAGGGAGGGTATATAGCTGCAGGCTAGAATAGAGGGTATATAGCTGCAGGCTAGAAGGAAGGATAGAGGGTATATAGCTGCAGGCTAGAAGGGAGGGTATATAGCTGCAGGCTAGAAGAGAGGGTATATAGCTGCAGGCTAGAAGGGAGGATAGAGGGTATATAGCTGCAGGCTAGAAGGAAGGATAGAGGGTATATAGCTGCAGGCTAGAAGGGAGGGTATATAGCTGCAGGCTAGAAGGAAGGATAGAGGGTATATAGCTGCAGGCTATATATAGCTGCAGGCTAGAAGGGAGGATAGAGGGTATATAGCTGCAGGCTAGAAGGAAGGATAGAGGGTATATAGCTGCAGGCAGGCTAGAAGGAAGGATAGAGGGTATATAGCTGCAGGCTAGAAGGAAGGATAGAGGGTATATAGCTGCAGGCTAGAAGGAAGGATAGAGGGTATATAGCTGCAGGCTAGAAGGGAGGGTATATAGCTGCAGGCTAGAAGGAAGGATAGAGGGTATGTAGCTGCAGGCTAGAAGGAAGGATAGAGGGTATATAGCTGCAGGCTAGAAGGAAGGATAGAGGGTATATAGCTGCAGGCTAGAAGGAAGAGCGGGGGAGTATATGGAAATTGTATCGCAGTCACACACTAACCTGCTGTTTTATTGTGGTTATGGTATCGCAGTCACACACTAACCTGCTGTTTTATTGTGGTTATGGTATCACAGTCACACACTAACCTGCTGTTTTATTGTGGTTATGGTATCACAGTCACACACTAACCTGCTGTTTTAGCGTGGCTATTGTATCACATTAGCGCACTAGCCTGCTGTTTTATTGTGGTTATGGTATCACAGTCACACACTAACCTGCTGTTTTAGCGTGGCTATTGTATCGCAGTCACACACTAACCTGCTGTTTTAGCGTGGCTATTGTAGTGTGAGCTTGTACAGAGGTCGAGATGTTAACCGATCCAGAAGCATCTTCAACGCAGATTTTCATACTGTGAAAAGATACAATGAATGCTACCAGATTTTCATACTGTGAAAAGATACAATGAATGCTACAGCGCATCTGGATTAACCGTCCAATAAACCGAGCGTGGCAGTGCGTGACGTGTTCTGTCCCTGCACGTACTCCATTATTACTGTTATTTCTGCTATGAATACACTATATTCCAGGGATTAAACTCACTATGAGCCATTCTCTATGAATACACTATATTTCAGGGATTACACACTCACTATGAGCCATGCTCTATGAATACACTATATTCCATGGATTACACTCACTATGAGCCACGCTCTATGAATACACTATGTAAAGGATCCTTCTATTCGCGATGATCCTTGCAGCTTCTCCCGAAATCCAGCTGAAACGAAGTGATTATAACTCCCAATCCCCCCGAGACTTCATGAAGGGGTAAAACGATCTGATTTACTGTGGGCTACCCGCCCGGTATTTATGCAGGTCTTCCACCTGGTGGACACTCCCCTAGGGGACCAGATGGAAGACTGGGACACAAGTAACACAGTAGCCAATCACAGTGGCTATAGCATAAGCACTCCCCTTTTACATAAATCACTCCCTCTTTTCCACCCTGGAGATAATTAACTTAAGGTAGCAAAGAGAGCCTTCATTATCTCCAGGAAGAAAGAAACATGGCTTTTCTTATTTCAGCAAAACAGAATAAAAATCTATAACTTTCTTTTTACACAACATAAACTTTAAGTTCCACATATCCCCAGATAGCTTGGATCTGAGTGCATATTCTAGGCGAATAGTGCTCAGATCCCACGAACACAGGTCTCAGAATTGTCGACTGAAGTTTGACTTTCACCGGCCGTTCGTGTGTTTGTAGCCGACTACAAGTTCCATACTATAGCTATCTGGGGTCGGTCACTTTCGCATTCTTTCAGCGCACGAATGAAGTAGTATCCCCTTCATGTTTTTCCACTGTACGAACGAGGATGGGAGGAGGTAGCAGCGGTGTTCGACAAAATAAATAGCCGAGATCAGTTCCAGGGAATCCTCGCCATTTACCGCTGAGCGTTCGACAATACAAAATGGCGATTGCCACGTGTTCGGTAAACGAACGCGGACCACCAGCTATTCCCCAATTAGTCTGTGGTTAACCGCAACAGTCAGGGTGGTCAATAGGCGCCACACGACCTCAGTGGGAGGTCAGTGGTTCGGTAGGCTATTCGCTTTTATGGCTATTTTCACAAAATCCTGCTGTAATCCTCCAAATAACCGAACAGGCTTGTTCGTATGGTCTGTAAATAAGGGATTTCGTTACACACTATATTCCATGGATTACACACTCACAATGAGCCACGGCTCTATGAATATACTATATTCCAGGGATTACACTCACTATGAGCCACGCTCTATGAATACATTATATTCCAGGGATTAAACTCACTATAAACCACGCTCTATGAATACACTATATACCAGGGATTACACACTCACAATGAGCCACGCTCTATGAATACACTATATTCCATGGATTACACACTCACAGTGAGCCACGCTCTATGAATACACTATATTCCAAGGATTAAACTCACAATGAGCCACGCTCTATGAATACACTATATTCCATGGATTACACACTCACAGTGAGCCACGCTCTATGAATACACTATATTCCAGGGATTAAACTCACAATGAGCCACGCTCTATGAATACACTATATTCCAGGGATTACACTCATGAGCCACGCTCTATGAATACACTATATTCCATGGATTACACACTCACAGTGAGCCACGCTCTATGAATACACTATATTCCAGGGATTACAATGATACACTATATTCCATGGATTACACACTCACAATGAGCCACGCTCTATGAATACACTATATTCCAGCTCACAATGAGCCACGCTCTATGAATACACTATATTCCATGGATTACACACTCACAGTGAGCCACGCTCTATGAACACTACACTATGAGCCACGCTCTATGAATACACTATGGATTACACTCACTATGAGCCACACTCTCTGAATACACTATATTCCATGGATTACACTCACTATGAGCCACGCTCTATGAATACACTATATTCCAGGGATTACACTCACTATGAGCCACGCTCTATGAATACACTATATTCCATGGATTACACTCACAATGAACCACGCTCTATGAATACACTATATTCCAGGGATTACACACTCACAATGAGTCACGTTCTAGGGATACACTATATTCCATGGATTACACACTCACAATGAGCCACGCTCTATGAATACACTATATTCCATGGATTACACTCACTATGAGCCACGCTCTAGGGATACACTATATTCCAGGGATTAAACTCACAATGAGCCACGCTCTAGGGATACACTATATTCCATGGATTACACACTCACAATGAGCCACGCTCTATGAATACACTATATTCCATGGATTACACTCACTATGAGCCATGCTCTGTGAATACACTATATTCCAGGGATTAAACTCACAATGAGCCACGCTCTAGGGATACACTATATTCCAGGGATTACACACTCACAATGAGCCACGCTCTATGAATACACTATATTCCAGGGATTACACTCACTATGAGCCACGCTCTATGAATACACTATATTCCAGGGATTACACTCACTATGAGCCACGCTCTAGGGATACACTATATTCCAGGGATTAAACTCATAATGAGCCACGCTCTATGAATACACTATATTCCATGGATTACACACTCACAGTGAGCCACGCTCTATGAATACACTATATTCCATGGATTACACACTCACAGTGAGCCACGCTCTATGAATACACTATATTCCAGGGATTAAACTCACAATGAGCCACGCTCTATGAATACACTATATTCCATGGATTACACTCACTATGAGCCACACTCTCTGAATACACTATATTCCATGGATTACACTCACTATGAGCCACGCTCTATGAATACACTATATTCCAGGGATTACACTCACTATGAGCCACGCTCTAGGGATACACTATATTCCAGGGATTAAACTCATAATGAAACAATTTCTATTGGTTAAATTCACTGATTTGTGACTTACAGGATCTGTTTCTTGGGGTAGGTGGTTTGTTTTAATTGGATTTGAAGAGGAATTTTCTGTTTGGTCAGCATCAATGCACACTGCACTGCCATCTGCTCATCCCCGCTCTCTATGGATCGGCTCAGCCGCAGAGCTAACTCTTCTGAAACACAGAAAATACAACGTATACATTTCAGGTTAGCCACAGCCAACAGGAAAACAGACCCACAATAGATCGCACAAACTGTGTGCTTCTCAGAACGTGCTCGGTGTGAAGATGGCCTGAATTATTACACAAGAAAAACCTGAGTAACAGTCCAGACATAACCACAGACAACGAAATGAGTCACACTCACAGACAGTGTAAACACACACAGAGATAGTGCGGCTGTGAGTACATACAGGGAGAGACAATTCACACTGACTGTGTACACACCCACACACACAGTCATAGTGCCGCTGTGATTACACACAGGGAGAGACAGGAATCACACTGACAGTGCGGCTGTGATTACACACAGGGAGAGACCATTCACACTGACTGTGTACACACACGAATAGTGAGGCTTTTCTAACACGACCTAGAGCTAGTTATAGTATACCCCTCTGGTATATGACACCATAGCACATTACAAAATTTGATGGCCAGAATCATGTGGCCACCTGCTCGTCAAACATTCCAAATCCATGGCCTTTAATCTGGAACGGTCTGACGTTGCTGCTGTGATAGTCCCCACTATTCTGGGAAGATTATGCACTACAAGTTGGAACAATGCCGAGGAGGTATGGGTGCAAGCTCTGTGCTGTGTGTTTTTCTATGGGTCTCTAGCTGTGTACAGGGAGAAATCACACGAACACAAGAGAGGGCATCACGCAGGATGTACCCAGAAAGTTCGAAGCAGAGATTGGCTCTAAAGTGCTCATTCTTGTGTGTGTGCGCGTGTGTGTGTGTACATATTTTACAGCTACGAAAAATCTTTTACTTTCTGCGTAATATCGGTTTGCTAAAGATTGCAGCTAGATTAAATTTAATAAGTTAAATAAAATAGAATTGTCAGTGCCCCTTCAGAGGAGGGTTTGGTGAATCCGTGTTTACCTTTAGTAGCCAATTCTTTCGGCTCCCCTGGAAGCTCGTCATCCAGTGATAGCGATTTAAAAGCCTGTGTCAGTGGTTTGTTTGCGGATGTCATTGGTTTTTCTGGTAAAGCTGGCTTTACCCTCAAATCGTTATCCTTACTCTGAAAAGCTGCAAAAATAGGATTAAGTATTAGAGTTATTGATATTCAAAAGATCAGATTTATAAGAATACTAATATATATTCAACAATCAACAATCAAGACTCTAAAAGAGAGAATGCGGGAGCCGGCGCCAGGTACGCAGACTGCAAGAACCGGCGCCAGGTACGCAGACTGCAAGAACCGGCACCAGGTACGCAGACTGCAAGAACCGGCACCAGGTACGCAGACTGCAAGAGCGGGCGCCAAGTACGCAGACTGCAAGAGCGGGCGCCAGGTACGCAGACTGCAAGAGCCGGTGCCAGGTACGCCGACTGCAAGATACAGGACTAATTATTACAAAGCTGCTGGGTACTTTCATTTACACAAGAAACTTTATTTTCTGTATTAGTTGTTCAGTTAATACAGATTAAAATGGGACACCCGTGATGTAATGTGATTTCATGCAGATGCTGGCAGTAGTTTATTTTCTATTTTGCTTCACGTTTATAGGATCGAGTGGATCTCAATGTGATGTAATATCTGATACGGCTTTACTGGTCACATCCTGCAATGAATCATTCGCTACCAGGAATTCATTTTGCTTTTATCTACTCTGGCTGATCGTATACACTAGAACACTCTGTATTAATAAAGGATGTTACCTCAAAGAAACTCAAACTTAATTATTTTATTTGTTTTAATTCTTTCTTTTTGGTGCAAGCAAACGACATACGTGTAGTACCACGACAGTAAGAACACGTATTAAGCATCATGTCACAGTAAATACATAGCATGGTAAAGATACAATTTGCACAATAAAACAAACAGACCGAGATGTTGTAACGAGAGGTAACATATACACTGGACTATGAGCTGGGAGGCAAAGTTAGTGGTCCAGGAGGGGATGTCGTGATCTGTTTGTTGACCCATACCTCCTAGGAGGGTGTAGGGTTATGTGTGCACATTGTGACGTAAAACGGTTGTGCTGAACTGGTGTAGAGATATAGTGTAGTGCCCCCTTATAGGGTAATTTGACTCAGTCAGGGTTTTTATCGTTGATGTATATTTGCAGTGGAGATGGCGCGTAGGTGTGTCGCACTGAATTTGATGTGATGGCACTGCTAGTGTAAGTCTAGGTAAGTAGGAGCCTGAGTGGTATTGCGCAACCAAGCTGAGTCGGTATGTTGCCACTAGAGATATGGTAGTGCTTGTTGCTGCTCAGAGCACATTAGGAACAGGTGGCTCTTTTGTGAACAGTTACCCAGTACCTGGGGGTGAGAAATGGCTCCCCGGGGTTTCATCGGAGAAGGTGAGGTCGATGTCGGGAGGGGTTACTCTCATCTTGTGGACAGCGAACTTTGTAAGTTTAACTTAGTTTTACGAGAACAGAAATTTACTCAATTGCAAAATAAATTGTTAAAACAAAATCGGAAGGATTAAACAGAAGACAACAGTTGTTGGGATTCGAGTCATGTAGTTGTGCTTCCACAACAAGGCCTCCACACGCTAGGCGACACGGTACGACAAATGCAATCTGCACAGTCCCACTTCTCCAGACAAGTAAATCTACTGGACGACAGGGGCAGACAAAAGAACATTAAGATAAGGTGGGGTTCAGGAATCCGTGCCGCTGGAGGGACTACCTAGTTTCATTCGACGCCTAGTGGCAGCAGTAGTGCCGGCGAGACAGGTCAAAACCTTCCTATTTGACGGAGTCTATAGAATTTCCAAATCGCCACAGGCCCCCCAACGCAGCTCCAGGGGACCTCATCCTACTGTGCCAAACCATTTCAGATAAACTGGGGGTTTGAAAGCAGCACTTCATGGGAAGACTCCCTATGAATTTGAGTCCTGCCGACTCTCCTTTTTCCAGGACTTGTGCATGGCCACACTGCTCTGGTGCAAAGAAATGCAACAGATTACAAAACCACTCGATACAGCAGGAATTACCTACAGATTGGCGACAAAAGATGGAAAACACTACAAGGACAAAGACCCGAAAGATGGGCCGACTTTAATGGAGGCATTGGGACTTTCCAACCAGAACACCTCTTCAGCGCCACAGCCACATCCCCAACCTTGGAACGCAGAAAAGGCAGCATCTACAGCACTTCACAGCAAAAGCTACTATACAAACGAGCACACCTAGAGCATCGTGGCGCCATGAACACAGAACCGCTGCAGAGGTAAGGGAAGTGTAAGTGTACAGAGAGCGGTTATTAATGGTACATTTTCAAGCTGGACAGAGGTGGCAAGTGGTGTCCCTCAGGGGTCTGTTCTGGGACCCCTTCTATTTAACATGTTTATAAATGATCTTGAAAAAAGCATTGAAAGTCATGTTTCAGTGTTTGCAGATAACACAAAATTCTGTAAAGTAATAAAATGTGAGCAAGATATTACTTTGCCGCAGAGGGATTTAGATAGACTGGGGGACTGGGCACTCAAATGGCAGATGAAATTTAATGTTGAAAAATGCAAAGTTATGCACTTCGGCGTAAAGAATACACAAGCAACGTATACCCTTAATGGAAGCGAATTAGGGATAACAACACATGAAAAGGACTTGGGAATTGTTATAGACAACAAACTATGCAACAATGTGCAATGTCAATCAGCAGTGGCCAAGGCCAGTAAGGTATTGTCATGCATGAAAAAGGGCATTCATTCTCGGGACAAGAATATAATTTGGCCTCTTTATAAATCACTGGTAAGACCCCATATTGAATATGCTGTGCAATTTTGGACACCTGTTCTAAAGAAGCTTACAATGGCATAGAAAAAGTGCTGAGGCGGGCTACAAAATTAAAAAGGGTTATGGAAGTTTTTAGTTATGAAAAAAAGCTAACAAAATTAAAGGGACACTATAGTCACCAGAGCGTATTGTATCTGTTCTGGTGAGTATAGTCAGTCACTGCAGGCTTTTTGGAGTAAACACTCTGTTGACATCAGGGCTTGACAAATTTGCCTTGAATCTAGGAGCCAGATTTTTTTTTTTTTTTTTTTAATCCTACAATACTTTGTTTTTTAACCCTTTCAGCACCACATGGGGGCACTAGATGTCACTATAGTGCTTGGAAAAACAACTTTGAACCCTTTTAAAGAGATATTTGCACATTTTTTTTTTACTTGTTTTAAAGAGGTATACACACTTTTTTTTAACCATTTTGGATTTAAATAGATATACACAGTATTTCTCATTTATTTTTTCATTGTTCAGCAACTATTTTTTCCACTCCCTTAGTTCTCTGATATTTACCATTACTGCACTAAATACTCCAGTAAGTGCTTCAATAGCATTCACTGGTGTGAAGAAAGATACTGTCACTATCGAAGAAGAGACTGTTCTCCTTTAACTATATTGCACACTTTATTCTACAGTACCGCACTGTACTTAGATTTTACCTTATTTATTCAGAGGCAAATATTACAATTATTGGAGATATATACTGAGCGTATCTCACAATAGGCACAACGGTGTCAGCTGTAACGGTTTTAGTAAATTACCATCACTGACTTCACCATTAGCAGATTTGTCCCCTCAGGTTTTCAGATCAGGAAATCTGAGCGCACGTCTCTGTTGAATTAAGGAAGCTGTGGATCTGTGGACGCAGCCCCGGAAAGACACAGGAAGCCATAACAGAAAGCAGGTATTTAAAGGCCAATCACATGAAGACATCATAAAGTAAAGAAGAGGTTTCATTAGACAGCCATAAAAATATTCAAGGACTGTTTAAAAAAAATAAACGACGTGCTTTGTGCCAGTATCTGTGAGTAGCTGGGCAGAGTTTAGTTGCATTGCGCAAATAAAACCGTGTGGTCGTGGGGGAGGGGGGGGGACGACGACACAAATAAAGTATAAATCTACTAAACATTAAAGAAATTAAGAAATGTACTGCAGAAACCAAGCTATTCTCAGTACATTTTAAGCCTTTCACTGATAGAGTGATGATTCAATGGACACCAAAGGCACCCTCACCACTTCACCTCATTGACGTGGTTTGGCTGCAGACCCTGTCCCCCTTAACCCTGCAATGTAAAGCATTTTTAGAGAAACTGCATTGGTTTTATTGTACTAAGACAGCCTCCAGAAGTGGATGAGAAGCAGATGATGAGTTTTAACAAACAATCACATGCTCTTCCTTTAAACAATTACCAGGATGTTGCTCAGAGCATTCCTTCTCTCCTAAAAGGTTAACTCACCTTTCCTGGCTTCCCGGAGAGAGCTGCTGACCACCGTCCACCATTTCTGAGCCTCTCGCTCATCCTCAAAGTTAAAGTTCATGGGTGCTGCGGCATCTCCCGGCGTCGATAATTCATGGCACCGGGAGCTCTTCAGGTCGTAAGAAATATCTTTAAGTTTAAATGCAGCGATAACCTAAAAATAAGAAAGGTAAAAAAAAATAATGTAATGTTCAAGTAGGAAATAACACATTTACCCTAAAATTACACTGCTCCCCCACTACATAAACAGACACAGTGGAAAATAGGAGGGAACACACAATGACAACCTTTAAAGGTACATTATATGGTTAGAAATATAAATCCCTAATGCTATAGTGCCCCCTCCGCGACAATGAAAGGGGTAAAAACCCTTTTTTCACTCACCTTAATTTCAGCTCCGACAGTGCTGAATCGCTCTCCTCCTCCAGTGATGAAGGACATAATGCGCATGCACAGCATGGTCACGTGCACATTAGACCTTCCCCATAAGAAAGCACTGAATCAATGCTTTTCTATGGGGGTTTTGAAGATGGTGGACGCCCTCATACAAAGTGTGACGACATCCAACATAGTTTTATGGAGAAACTCAGTGAGAAGCCGGTAAGTCCCTCTTGTGGCTGTCTGAACCCTTTTCTGAAAACACAATGTTTTAACTTGCGGGGTTAAAGGGTCAGGGACACTTCAATGAGAAAAAGCACTCTGGGAGAATCTAGTGTCTCTTTAATTCATGTTGATCGCCAAACAGGAGTGATTACCTATTCCCAGAGAGAATTACCACCGTTAGGGCAGCATGGAACATCCTGCAGTTTTGGTACGATCATCTGATAACTGGGGCCCCCTTTCAGCTAGGGCATGTAAATACCTATAGCTACAATGCGGGGTTAGCAGGGGTAAATCCAGGCTCACACCAGGAAGCTTCAGGTACCAATGGGACCCCCCGTCAGCTAGGGCATGTAAATACCTACAATGTGGTGTGAGCCAGGCTAACACCAGTGAGATTCAGGTACCAATGGGGCCCCCTGTCAGCTGGGGCATGTAAATACCTATAGCTACAATGCAGTGTTAGCAGGGGTAAAGCCAGGCTAACACCAGGGAGCTTCAGGTACCAATGGGACCCCCTGTCAGCTGGGGCATGTAATACCTATAGCTACAATGCAGTGTTAGCAGGGGTAAAGCCAGGCTAACACCAGGGAGCTAACACCAGGGACCAATGGGACCCCCTGTCAGCTGGGGCATGTAAATACCTACAATGCGGTGTAAGGAGATGTAAATCCAGGCTCACACCAAGGAGCTTCAGGTACCAATGGGACCCCCTGTCAGCTGGGGCATGTAAATACCTATAGCTACAATGTGGTGTAAGCAGGGGTAAATCCAGGCTCACACCAAGGACATTCAGGTACCAATGGGGTCCCCTGTCAGTGTGAGGGCAGGGATGGCATCAGGCAGGGGTGGAGAGCTCAGCGCTCGGATCATCGCCCATGGCTGCATGTTTTTGCAGGACGTACGGGGGACCTATTAGTGATGTCCAATAGAGAATTTTCAGATGAAAACAAAAAAGCGGGGTGGGGGGGTAAGAGCAGCCCTGTAATGTTATGTTAGGAATACATACAGTATATTAAAAGAATAGTATTATATAAGGACACACTGAAAGAGTAACCCTTTATGGTAGAACAAACACATAGCACATATTCTATCTGGGTTCATTCACTCAAGTGAGAATTCAAGGTCTAAATAGCCGAACTCAAAACATTCTGTAAGACAGCTATAGGAGCTATGCATTCCCTTCGGCTACTCTGGCCTTGAATTTGAGATTCACTTTGACATCAAACTCTAGTGAATAACCCGGTAGGTTTTGTTTCGGGTCAGAACTTGGACGATTACCTCTGTCTCCAAGGGGTTAACCTATTAAACTGTAGCTAGTTCACTCTGCAATCATGTATCTATGTATTTCTGAAAGTTATATAACAAAATGACATCTAAATAACAATGACTCTTTGATTAATGAATCTAAGCATTCATAGGACAGAATATGCAAGCGATCTCCATCTTCAAAGTGTAGAAGAAATAATGTGTGTTATAACATTCAGGGAGATGATCTAGCACTTGGCTGTGATTTATTGATTAATATAATGAGCCATACCCCGATCTCCGCTGAGCTACCTCTTCATATGTTCTAACCTGGTAAATACACCAGTCAGGGAGCAGGGTATCTGACCGGGCCATATACAGTCTGTAATACCAGACCAGCTCTGACCGGGCCATACAAGGTATAGACGTACAGTGTGTAATACCAGACCAGCTCTGACCGGGCCATACAAGGTATAGACGTACAGTGTGTAATACCAGACCAGCTCTGACCGGGCCATACAAGGTATAGACGTACAGTGTGTAATACCAGACCAGCTCTGACCGGGCCATACAATGTATAGACGTACAGTGTGTAATAACAGACCAGGTCTGACCGGGCCATACAATGTATAGACGTACAGTGTGTAATACCAGACCAGGTCTGACCGAGCCATACAATGTATAGACGTACAGTGTGTAATACCAGACCAGGCCATACAATGTATAGACGTACAGTGTGTAATACCAGACCAGGCCATACAATGTATAGACGTACAGTCTGTAATACCAGACCAGCTTTGACCGGGCCATACAATGTATAGACGTACAGTGTGTAATACCAGACCAGGCCATACAATGTATAGACGTACAGTGTGTAATACCAGACCAGGTCAGACCGGGCCATACAATGTATAGACGTACAGTGTGTAATACCAGACCAGGTCAGACCAGGCCATACAATGTATAGACGTACAGTGTGTAATACCAGACCAGGTCAGACCGGGCCATACAATGTATAGACGTACAGTGTGTAATACCAGACCAGGCCATACAATGTATAGACGTACAGTGTGTAATACCAGACCAGGTCAGACCGGGCCATACAATGTATAGACGTATAGTGTGCCAGACCAGCTCTGACCGGGCCATACAATGTATAGACGTACAGTGTGTAATACCAGTATCTGACCATGCCATACAATGTATAGACGTACAGTGTGTAATACCAGTATCTGACCGTGCCATACAATGTATAGACGTACAGTGTGTAATACCAGACCAGCTCTGACCGTGCCATACAATGTATAGACGTACAGTGTGTAATACTAGACCAGCTCTGACCGGGCCATACAATGTATAGACGTACAGTGTGTAATACCAGTATCTGACCGTGCCATACAATGTATAGACGTACAGTGTGTAATACCAGTATCTGACCGTGCCATACAATGTATAGACGTACAGTGTGTAATACCAGTATCTGACCGGGCCATACAATGTATAGACGTACAGTGTGTAATACCAGACCAGCTCTGACCGGGCCATACAATGTATAGACGTACAGTGTGTAATACCAGACCAGGCCATACAATGTATAGACGTACAGTGTGTAATACCAGTATCTGACCGGGCCATACAATGTATAGACGTACAGTGTGTAATACCAGACCAGCTCTGACCGGGCCATACAATGTATAGACGTACAGTGTGTAATACCAGACCAGGCCATACAATGTATAGACGTACAGTGTGTAATACCAGACCAGGTCAGACCGGGCCATACAATGTACAGACGTACAGTGTGTAATACCAGACCAGGCCATACAATGTATAGACGTATAGTGTGCCAGACCAGCTCTGACCGGGCCATACAATGTATAGACGTACAGTGTGTAATACCAGACCAGGCCATACAATGTATAGACGTACAGTGTGTAATACCAGACCAGGTCAGACCGGGCCATACAATGTATAGACGTATAGTGTGCCAGACCAGCTCTGACCGGGCCATACAATGTATAGACGTACAGTGTGTAATACCAGTATCTGACCATGCCATACAATGTATAGACGTACAGTGTGTAATACCAGTATCTGACCGTGCCATACAATGTATAGACGTACAGTGTGTAATACCAGACCAGCTCTGACCGTGCCATACAATGTATAGACGTACAGTGTGTAATACTAGACCAGCTCTGACCGGGCCATACAATGTATAGACGTACAGTGTGTAATACCAGTATCTGACCGTGCCATACAATGTATAGACGTACAGTGTGTAATACCAGTATCTGACCGTACCATACAATGTATAGACGTACAGTGTGTAATACCAGTATCTGACCGGGCCATACAATGTATAGACGTACAGTGTGTAATACCAGTATCTGACCGGGCCATACAATGTATAGACGTACAGTGTGTAATACCAGTATCTGACCGGGCCATACAATGTATAGACGTACAGTGTGTAATACCAGACCAGCTCTGACCGGCCCATACAATGTATAGAAGTACAGTGTGTAATACCAGACCAGGTCAGACCGGGCCATACAATGTATAGAAGTACAGTGTGTAATACCAGACCAGGTCAGACCGGGCCATACAATGTATAGACATACAGTGTGTAATACCAGACCAGGTCAGACCGGGCCATACAATGTATAGACGTACAGTGTGTAATACCAGACCAGGTCAGACCGGGCCATACAATGTATAGACGTACAGTGTGTAATACCAGACCAGGTCTGACCGGGCCAAACAATGTATAGACGTACAGTCTGTAATACCAGACCAGGTCATACAATGTATAGACGTACAGTCTGTAATACCAGACCAGGCCATACAATGTATAGACGTACAGTCTGTAAAACCAGACCAGGCCATACAATGTATAGACGTACAGTCTGTAAAACCAGACCAGCTCTGACCGGGCCATACAATGTATAGACGTACAGTGTGTAATACCAGACCAGGTCATACAATGTATAGACGTACAGTGTGTAATACCAGACCAGCTCTGACCAGGCCATACAATGTATAGACGTACAGTGTGTAATACCAGACCAGCTCTGACCGGGCCATACAATGTATAGACGTACAGTGTGCAATACAAGACCAGCTCTGACCGGGCCATACAATGTATAGAAGTACAGTGTGTAATACCAGACCAGGCCATACAATGTATAGACGTACAGTCAGGACTGACCGAACCATAATGTATAGACGTAAAGTGTGTAATACCAGACCAGGTCATACAATGTATAGACGTAAAGTGTGTAATACCAGACCAGGTCAGACCGGGCCATACAATGTATAGACGTACAGTGTGTAATACCAGACCAAGTCAGACCGGGCCATACAATGTATAGATGTACAGTGTGTAATACCAGACCAGGTCAGACCGGGCCATACAATGTATAGACGTAAAGTGTGTAATACCAGACCAGGACTGACCGAGCCATACAATGTATAGACGTACAGTGTGTAATACCAGACCAGGTCAGACCAGGCCATACAATGTATAGACGTACAGTGTGCCAAACCAGCTCTGACCGGCCCATACAATCTATAGACGTACAGTGTGTAATAACAGACCAGGTCTGACCAAGCCATACAATGTATAGACGTACAGTGTGTAATACCAGACCAGGTCAGACCGGGCCATACAATGTATAGACGTATAGTGTGCCAGACCAGCTCTGACCGGGCCATACAATGTATAGACGTACAGTGTGTAATACCAGTATCTGACCATGCCATACAATGTATAGACGTACAGTGTGTAATACCAGTATCTGACCGTGCCATACAATGTATAGACGTACAGTGTGTAATACCAGTATCTGACCGGGCCATACAATGTATAGACGTACAGTGTGTAATACCAGTATCTGACCGGGCCATACAATGTATAGACGTACAGTGTGTAATACCAGTATCTGACCGGGCCATACAATGTATAGACGTACAGTGTGTAATACCAGTATCTGACCGGGCCATACAATGTATAGACGTACAGTGTGTAATACCAGACCAGCTCTGACCGGCCCATACAATGTATAGGACGTACAGTGTGTAATACCAGACCAGGTCAGACCGGGCCATACAATGTATAGAAGTACAGTGTGTAATACCAGACCAGGTCAGACCGGGCCATACAATGTATAGACGTACAGTGTGTAATACCAGACCAGCTCTGACCGGCCCATACAATGTATAGACGTACAGTGTGTAATACCAGACCAGGTCAGACCGGGCCATACAATGTATAGACGTACAGTGTGTAATACCAGACCAGCTCTGACCGGGCCATACAATGTATAGACGTACAGTGTGTAATACCAGACCAGCTCTGACCGGCCCATACAATGTATAGACGTACAGTGTGTAATACCAGACCAGGTCAGACCGGGCCATACAATGTATAGACGTACAGTGTGTAATACCAGACCAGCTCTGACCGGGCCATACAATGTATAGACGTACAGTGTGTAATACCAGACCAGCTCTGACCGGGCCATACAATGTGTAAAAATACAGTCGGTAATTAGTGTAACTAAGGGAGTCATTCATCACATCACAAAACCGGGTGCTCAAAACTACTTGTCACTCTAAAACAAATGCCTACTCCTTAGGGAGCAGCGCTCATTACTACACAAGATTAGCTAATCACAGGCATTATAATAATGCAATACAATACACAGAGTCTCTCATTACATCACAAAATGAACCAATCACAGTCAGAGCCTCTCATTACATCATAAAATGAACCAATCACAGACAGAGCCCCTCATTACATCACAAAATGAACCAATCACAGTCAGAGCCTCTCATTACATCACAGACAAAGCCTATCATTACATCATAAAATGAACCAATCACAGACAGAGCCCCTCATTACATCACAAAATGAACCAATCACAGTCAGAGCCTCTCATTACATCACAGACAAAGCCTATCATTACATCATAAAATGAACCAATCACAGACAGAGCCCCTCATTACATCACAAAATGAACCAATCACAGTCAGAGCCTCTCATTACATCACAGACAAAGCCTATCATTACATCATAAAATGAACCAATCACAGACAGAGCCCCTCATTACATCACAAAATGAACCAATCACAGTCAGAGCCTCTCATTACATCACAGACAAAGCCTATCATTACATCATAAAATGAACCAATCACAGACAGGGCCCCTCATTACATCACAAAATGAACCAATCACAGTCAGAGCCCCTCATTACATCACAAAATGAACCAATCACAGACAGAGCCCCTCATTACATCACAGACAAAGCCTATCATTACATCATAAAATGAACCAATCACAGACAGAGCCCCTCATTAAATCATAAAATGAACCACAGACAGAGCCCCTCATTACATCATAAAATTAAGCAAATATATAGCGTATAATATAAAGCTGTATTGCCATGAATTGTTTTCCTTTCCCTGTGTAAAGGATTTCCCTGTATTTACCTGTATTCATTCGGTTATTTCCTCTCCCTGCTATTTAAGTGACTTTGAAGTATTCGTTTTATTTCTGTGTTCGGGATATTTATTCGTTCTACCGAACGGAGACCACCCTGGGTAGCAATCAGAACTTAGAACACCAAGTAACCATACGAAAACCGCTAAGTAATGGAGTGCTCCTAGGTGGCCGCCATTCGAACACGTGGCGAGAACAAAGGATGGCGGCCATCTTAAATCTTCCGAACGCGGCCAGCGGGACTTACTCGTGGATGCCTGGAACCGTTTTCGGCATGGCAATCACACGAACACCCAGTCTTTATGGAAGTCTCGCCTGACCTATTTCTACTCACAGTATTAGACCGGCTTTCGGGAATTCCAGTCAACCGAACGAGGAGAGCATTCTCATGTAACCAGATGCAATATAACTATGGTGGTTTTCGGGTAATTCTGCACGAACGGAGACCGGCTCTTGCTGCTGATTTCATGGAACTCTAACTCGGATACAACCACATGGCGAGCCGGTCAAACTTCCACACGATGCGACACGGAAACTACTGAACGGATTTTCGTGCAATTTTATGTTACTCCCAGTATCCTCAGCTACTCAGGGATTTTTAAATGCATATGTCATGTAGAAAGTATATTTTAAAAAATGTTGAAAATTGTTAATGTTTCTGGTCAGCAGATAATTGAGTTTAGTATGTTGCTGAAACTCAATTATCTAGCCTGGCCCAGAGGAGGAGTCTGTTACTGTACAACTTGCATGCCTGTTGCTTCCAGTAAATCAGTCTTGCTCCAGCATTAAGCTTTGGCTCATGTGTGCATTATTTGGCGATACCAGCGTTATTTTACCCTGTGGATTATTGTTGTTATTCTGCTATTGGGGAAAAGGGAATACTAGACGGTGATACAAATCACTACCGTCACACCTTATATTGTAATGACTAGAATTCCCTGCACACTACTTGTCTTTATTTACAGTGCATTCAGAAAGAATTCAGCACCCTTCATTTATTTCACATTTTATTATGGTTGGGGGCCATCGATGGACAGCCATA